TTAAAAGATACAATAGACCTTCTGAAGAAATTACAAACTATCAGTTGGGAAAAGGACTATATATTGATCACATGTGACGTACAATCGCTGTATACGATAATCAAACATGATAAAGGATGTCAGGCTATCAGATCCATTTTAGAACAAGACGATTCTATGCTCCAAGAACAGAAAGATTTTATTATTGACGGCATAGATCTAATTTTAAAACACAATTATTTTTGGTTCAAAGATAGTTTTTATTTACAGAAAACTGGGACAGCTATGGGTACTAGGTTCGCACCCAGCTATGCCAACCTCTATATGGCTGAATGGGAGGATCGGTCTGTGTGGAGGGGACATGGCTGGGTGCAGAACCTGGTTTTTTATTCTCGCTATATAGACGACCTCCTATTTATTTGGAAAGGACCTATTAGTTCAGCTAAAGATTTTATTTCTTTTTTAAACAACAATGAAGAAGGTATAATTTTAACAGCGGATTTTAGTAGTACTATGGTTACGTATCTAGATCTTAATATATATATTGAAAATAACACAATACAAACTAAAACACATTTCAAAGAAGTAAATGTAAACAACTATATAAGTACTAAAAGTTGTCACAACAAGATATGGTTGGACAGTATACCTAAAAGTCAGATGATGCGTCTCAGAAGAAACTGCTCTGATGAAGCTGTGTTTCTAAAGCAAGCTAACATACTGAGAGAAAGTTTCATACAAAAAGGTTATGATGCTAACCATATCGATTCAACCATTAATCAAACAGTCACAATTAATAGAAATCAACTTATATATAAAACCAAAGGTTCAGAGAATCAGAAGAATCGTGACTTTACTCTACCTATTGTACTAGACTATAACAATAAAAACAGACAATTGAAAAAAATTTTAATAAAACATTGGCATCTATTAAAGGAAGATGAAATTTTAGGAAAAATTATCCCTGATAAACCAAAAGTAATCTTTAGAGGAGCCCCTAACCTTAAAATGCATCTAACAAAAATTTTTACAAGAAATAGCCCTAATAGAATTAATGATTTTATGGATAAAAAGGGTTTCTACAAATGTAATTGCTGTATGGCGTGTAAAAAGACAAAAACCACTAAAAGAATGATCACTGATTTTAAATCAAATAATACCAATAAAACATATAATATAAAAGAGGTCATTACATGCAACAGCAAAAATGTGATCTATTTATTGGAATGTTCATGTGGTCTCCAATATGTAGGGAGAACGATCAGGCCACTAAAAACCAGAATCGCAGAACACTGTAGAAATATAGAAAAGGGTCTACAGAATCACTCAGTACCTGCGCACTTTTGCATGCACAATAATGATCCCAAGCACCTCACGTTTATGGGAATTAAAATAGTTAAAAATCATTGGAGAGGGGGAGATGCTATAAGAAAGATTGGACAAACTGAGATGCAGTGGGTATATCAACTTGATACCCTACACCCCAAGGGGCTGAATGTTGATTTCGACTTATACAATTTTTTATAAAAATATATATATTTATTTTTATTTTTTTTTTTTTTTCCCCCAACACTCTTTGTCCATCCTTATAGCATGCCCCTCATCTACTCTTATTATGTTTTATGCTCTTATGGTTGTTTTTAACTTTGATCATTATGTTAAATTATTTATAATATTTATACTGTGCCCTTTCTTATTTTTATTTTTATTTTTTATAGGTATTAACCTAACCATTTTAAAGCATACATCATTATTTATATTGTAGGTATATGTATATTTCTTTCTTTTTTACATTTATATGGTTGTACACAAACTACCCTATTAGTTGTCTTCTAAATGGATGTTTGCCCTCAACAAAGATGGCCGCCGCATCACTTTCCCACTGGAACATGCCCACACCCACTAGTATTGGAGGCTGGGACGAGTGATGCTTGAAATCTTTATCTATATCACTTATTGGTGTTACATACACCTCTGGACATTTAGACATTACATCAATTTGCACTACAGATGCCGCGATCATTTCCGGTCAGACGCGAGCACTACGTCACTTCCGGTGTGACGCGGGTGCCGCGTCACTTCCGGTATGACGCGTGCGTGTCAGCAAACAGCCGGAACCAGGAAGTAAGCACACCAGGACATTATTTCTACATTAAGGAGGATATATAAACGGACTTATCAGACATGATACCACACTTCTGAAGAAGCCAACCTGGCGAAACGCGTTAAGTGGGACTACATTTTATGTTTTATAATATTTTATTTCTATTTAGCTTGTTTATATTAAAGTATACTTTTTAAAGTTACTTTTATATCCACTCCAATCTTTTATTTTACTTCCTGGATTCTGTATATCCTTGGTGGGGATTATACCACCCATGCTGTTTATACTAGAGCAGGATATATGCTCTAGAAATTATAAGTACAATACTATTTAATATTGGTCATACTATTAGTACTTACTTCACCATATTGCTGCTATTTTTTCCTTTCATATTCACTACGCTCACTGCATTGTGGAAATATTCGTGGAAACTTCTACAAATCCAAAGACGGGGATTGTACCGTCCAGGCGTTCTTACAGCAGAGCTCTGTTATAGCTCATCCATATGTGAGTGGATTGAACTTAGCCTTATACTATCTGCTCTAAAGAATATATTTACTGTATTGCACTATCATTTGTTTCTTAATCTGTTTCCTTTGAGGTTACGATCCGTTTGGAATATTCAAGATATATGTATGTATATTTCACATATATAAATTAGGCGCGGTATACGTTTTCCTTTTTTCTTTAAATAATTACAAGGCTGTGTGTCCCCCCTAATTTTCACTCCCCATATAGGTTTAAAGGGAAAGAACAGTGCAAAAGTCATTAGGGATATTATTCCCAAAAGAGATGTCTGAGGATATATTGGATATCAGCAGTAGTTCTCATATTGAGCTATTTACTCAAATCAGGACTCTATATGTCTTGAAAGATTTTTGTGGACTATTTTGTTGTAAAATATGCAATTTCCTGGTCCATTCTTTAAAAGTCCTACTTTAGTGAAATACCCTGAGGAAGTGTATATTGCTGTATTGAATCCCAAACCTATTGAATATTTCATCTTACCTCGTTTATCATAGACTTATTTAGGCAGAAAAAAAGTGCCATCTAGTGGAAATCTTGTAACATGCATGTCATGTTTAGAAAAAAAGATGGAGTTTGATTCTGCAAAATTAAAGGGACTCTATAACTATTCTATCGCATTGAAGTGGTTATAGTGTCTGGAGTCCCTCCATTCAATGTTATAGCATTTGCAAGCAGTTTAAAGGACCACTATAGTGCCAGGAAAACATACTTGTTTTCCTGGCACTATAGTGCCCTAAGGGTGCCCCCACCCTCAGGGACCCCCTCCCGCCCGGCTCTGGAAAGGGGAAAAGGGGTTAAACGTACCTTTTTCCAGCGCTGGGCGGAGAGCTCTCCTCCTTCTCTCCTGCTCCGTTCCTCCTCCTGGGCTGAATGCGCACGCGCGGCAAGAGCTGCGCGCGCATTCAGCCCGTCGCATAGGAAAGCATTTACAATGCTTTCCTATGGATGCTTGCGTGCTCTCACTGTGAGAAGCACGCAAGCGCCTCTAGTGGCTGTCAATGAGACAGCCACTAGAGGATTAGGGGGAAGGCTTAACCCATTCATAAACACAGCAGTTTCTCTGAAACTGCTATGTTTATAAAAAAATGGGTTAACCCTAGCTGGACCTGGCACCCATACCACTTCATTAAGCTGAAGTGGTCTGGGTGCCTAGAGTGGTCCTTTAACACTGAATGAGAGTCCCTTTCTTCCCTTAGATGAGTTCCCGATGGAGGTGCAGCTAAGGCAGAGATTACACACTTCCTTGTAGTCATACCAATTTATACCAGCAATGGGCACTGTGAAAGGATGGATGCAGCCAGCTGACACCCTCAACTAATCACAGTTGCCCGTTGCCGCTCAGGATAATGCCTACTGGATAGCCCAAACAGCAAAGAGGGGATGGGCTGCTGGGGACTCTTGCTTAGCATTAAAAATAGTTTAGTGCTGAATGTTAGGACAGTGTCTGGAGACTACAGACACTATAACCACTTCAATGACAGTGCGCCCCTTTAATAACAGACTGAATGTTTTGGTAATTAACAAAAGATCAATGATGCTCATGTGCCAAGCACTGCCACAAAACAAGAAAACAGATGCATTGAAGCCTTGTTTATTCTTAGTTTCAATCTCCTATGCTATGTCCAACTACTTTTACACTTACACTGAATCACTCTTGACCATACATGGAGTGAGCTCACACTCTTACATTTATTCTATAAGGCTTACTTGTGGTCCTTTCGTTGCAATGTAGAAACTAGTTGTGCCATAGAATGCAGAGAACTATTAAGATCCCACAGATCTCCCAGTAAACTCCTTAGGGGCCCTACATTCACCCATTCCAAGTCAAGAGCACAGAGATTGTACACAATATTCTTCATGTAATAAGAATTTATTGTAACAGCATTTGGATGTAAAACAGAATAAAATGTCTAGTTTGGTGTTTCGACTGTATTTCTGTAAATGGAGTGTCAGACATTCGCAGTTAGCACCAATTGGCATTTATAGAAAGCATTCTTTATAGGAGTGTAGTTATAATTAGCATTCAGAATACACATGCCATCTACAATCTTTGCCTTCAGGGGATATTTATGGCTGTGCAAGAAACTCCTACTATTCTGTTATTAGTACAGATGGCATACAGCTGTGAAATAGACTTAAAGTATTAAAAAAAGACTAGATGGGCCGTATGGTTCTTATCTGCCGTCACGTTCTATGCTTCTATATTTTCTGAAGAGTGTGTGGGTTTGCAACCTGTTTTTGTTATTTATTTTTGTCTGTTTACAACTATAAACAAGTCCCAAATTCTTAAAGGGTAACTTAAAGCACCATGATCAGGTTAGTGATTTTAAGTGAGAATTACCATTTAAGTCCAAAGTTGCCAAACTGTAAGCATAGCTGACTTGGCCAAATGCTTAGTTTTTCTGACCTTTAATTTAAAAGGGAGTTTAAATTCCTAATAAATCTCACTTTAGTGCATATCCATGTATGTGTCTCTCTTTCTGTTCCTGTATATCCTTAATCATGTCCGTCTGTACGCTATATGTTTGTGTGTCTGCATGTGAGAGTATGGTTTTTATGTTTGAGGGACAGGATCTGGGAAGATATCAAAGTCAGGATAGTTAAGCAGTCACAGATAATACAAAAGAGGATGGAGTCAGGGGAAAAGGTACAGTTTTGTTTTGATTATCCATCAATGTTATTTTCTAGCAATAAATATCAGAAAATCGGGATTATTTGAAAGTGTGCACTGTGATATTCCATATGTTCCCTTTGTACAGCGCTACGGAATCTGATGGCGCTATATAAATAATAATAACATGTATTAAGCATGATTGAGTGATCACTATTGACCAAATTAAACTATTATAGATAGTTAAGATGGCACTTGTCTTAAACTGTCGCACTAAAAAATACAACTAAGAAAAACAAGACGACACAGCATAGAATGTTCTATAACTTATCTGCCCAATATCCAAAGTGGCCTACGGGCTTGAAAGTGGGATTTGGTGCCTTTAATGTTTAGAAAGACTGAGTATAGGGACATAGCTTCAGAGAAGAGGTACCACATGTGTTTGGCATGAGCCTTGGGTGGTCATGTCTGGCCTGATCAACCATAAAGATTACTTAATGCGCATGACAACTACATGCTGGACTGCACTGATAAGAAAACTTGGAAAAGTACAGACTATCCATCTCTTTGGTAAAAAGACGGAGAAACTTGGTACTCCCTCGGAGAACTACCTGCCTGTAATACAGATGCGTGTTGCTGGTCTCTGCTGTTCTAAGAAGAGAGGGTCCCTCCAAGTCTGACTGCCTGAGTTCCCCCAGTCATGTGCAGCAGAGTGACAACTAAGCCCCTCTAATGGTGATGTATACTTAGCTGATAGCTAGATACTTAAGCTTTTTGATGTGAATGCATGCAATAACTTAAATGAGAGTGCACCTAAAACTGTATTAGGTCCCTTTATGGACAATAAAGTGTGATGTGAATTCTTATACAAGAACTTGGTCTCTGTGTGATTTCTCTTTCCTATAGATACTCATCCCGAACTGGGTTGTGTGCCCGGCAATATCGCTTAAATCCTTACTAGGGATTGATTATCACTTTTTGGATATTGGCGCTTCATGAATGTAATGATTAGGCACAACACACACCTACATATTTTTAAACAAAACCGCTAGAGTCAGTCATTTAAAGAATACAATAATAATTTATTGGTGTTTAGTTATGTGCAATTCCACCGTCACCGTGAAATCCGCCAAAAAACCATGAGGAATAAGATGAGTCCACTGTGCCAATTCAATGGTCAAGGGGACATCATGGACTCTTACTGTAGAAGCAGAAATCAGTGCTGTAAAAGGATTAAAATCCTCTGTCTTGTAAACTCTAGTGAACAGGATCTTCTGCTGTTATGTGCTTAACACTTATTTTGTCAAAATGACTTGTGAATGTTGTCTTGTTATTTTTCAGCTCTGTCGAATAGGTTTGTATTTAATAAATATATTATTAGTATTATTATAATAAGATCCTGACTGTAGTTCAACACTCTAAAGTATTTTGGCCATAGAAACCAGCGAGACCAATATTGGTCACGATGTAACATAATATATACGGCTTAACTTACCTAGAAAAAGGTCATGTCAAACTAACTTAAAGGGGCAGTCTATGCACCATAAGTGCTATAATCTTTTGTAGTAGTTATGGTGCTAGTAGGATACGGGCACCATCAATCAGGTCTATGTAACTGTTTGATAAAAACTGGGTGTTACCCGGGTGCCCAAGCCCTAGACCAGGGTTCGACAAAATCTGGCCCTCCAGATGTTCCTTAACTACAACCTAGACGATTATCTGGCTATTTCATTCAAAGAATCATGGGAGTTGTAGTTCAGCAACATCTGGAGGACCTCAGTTTGTAGAACCCCTGCACTAGACTATAGCTTAAGTATTAGAAATATTATTTTTAGTCACCAAACCAGCTACATTTCCAGTTTACTAGCTATCCTTGTACTAGGCTTCACAAGATGAGAGAATAGTTTATTTTCCATCTGAACCACGTGCATTTAAGTGGACAATCTTTTATGAAATGCACGCAGTATCAGCCAAGCTTTTGCATGGCCCAGTAACATACCTACCTACCAACTGACTCACCCTTCTGTAAAGCCAACACTCACCGAGCCCCTATGTCTCTAATTGCATTCAATAAACTCCAATTTTTGGGGAGCGTATTCCAAACTGCAAAATATAGGCAATATTTGCTGAATTTGAAAAAAAAAAAAAAATCTTTCAACAAAGATATAGCCAAAGTTCAGCTTGTGTAGTTTCAGTTTTGCAATTCAGTTTTCTATTTAATTATTGAACAGTTTTAAGATTGGGTTATAGACAGAGCGGTATATAATTAGACATACTGAAATAAAAATTAGCAAATAACTTTTGCTTTCCCCCCAGTCCTGACTGCAGGGGACTTTAAATCAATGAACCCTGATGTTTATTCACCCCACTATGAACTGTCCGGAATTAAAAGAGAATTCAAATTTTTGGCAATCGGAAAACAGAGGAGACTTTTCCCTCACAATTCCCATTTTAGTCCATTGGCCCCTTGGAAAATGTGACTCTGAATTAGCTCATGAAATATTTTAACAGCACAAGAGAAAAACAAAATTAAAATAGTAATTACAAACCTTCATCATTCTCAGTAATTTTGCTTTTATTTTAATTGGAGAAATCTTTAAAGCAGATTAAAAAGTGATAGTATCCGCATATTTCTTTTTAACTTAGCTCTGATCCGCTAAAAGGAAATGGTAATAGAACCTCTTAACACAGGAAGACACAAAACATAAATACACCGGCACACGATTGCAATCAGTGCAAACCTGAATTAGAAAATCATCATCGCATGACAATTATCACTATTATAAGTGCCTTGCTCATCCTTCTGACACTCTAACAGGGTTGCAAACTAAATTGTGGATTGCCAGAATTTCAAAAAGTCAATTCAAATAAAATTTACAAATTTAGGACAAAATCGGCTGAACTGGAGTTATGTATTCAGTTTGGCCCTATTCGCCTAGAAGTAATTTCTGATAATTCATCCTTTATTGAACAACCATGAGAGCGTTACATACTTACTAAAGGTCAACTCATCTTGAATTCTTCATCAGCCACATCAGATCAGCAGTTTTTTTGGATAAAAAGTATACAGTGCTAATCACTAAAGTATGAATCTCATGGTGATTTTACAATTTATGTAAAAGTGGCTGAAATGGAAAAAATTCTCTAAGTCAACTGTGCTTTCAGTGTCGCTACACTTCACTTTGAAGTCTCACGTTAGTGATTAGACCTGTTGGTAATGACAAAACCATTTGAAAGAGAAAAAAAACAAAACACAATGATATATCGCAACCTGCTACCTGTACAAAAAGCAGTAGAACTTTTGGAGTCCTTTGGTTGTTCTTTCTATAAAGATATTTGTTTTTAGATTACAGTCACTTGATATATGTTCAAAGAAGGTTGCGTTCTTTTGATATTTAAAATGTGTTTTCACCAAATATATAGGAAAATGGCAGTATAATAGATTAACAGTCAAGATCCTTCACAGTAACTCAATATTAAATAGAAGAGGCGGTATTAGAAATAGTTTTTGGTCAGGGACATTTAGAATTTGAGAGGCTTAATCAATAAAACATCCAATAATTTACGATAGGGGGAATGAAGCTGGTACCTAATAAGGGGTGTTAACTTTGGATTTCAAGCAATTGTTTATCTATGACCTTCATAATTCTCTGTTGGCCCATGACTGAATGTGTAGGACAATAGTTTGTCAAACACCACAGGTGGGTCATGTCTGGTGAAACTTCATCTTCACATGTCTATATGTTTTTCCTGTCTCTCGAATGACAGACCCTTTACTACGTTTAGTGCCTTAAATGTAGGGGAACTACACTTGAATAACACGGTATCTGTCTTATGGATAATGTAATAAAACATCACTTGCTATAATGCACAGCAGTCACGTAGGGTAACAAGGAAACATCCATTGCTCTACCTGTATTATAATACTCTATTAATGGAACTCTTAGAAGTCAGTGAAACACCTTCAATATAAACACATGAAGGTGGTCAACAATTTTTTATGGACATTAGAGGTGAACTGGACGCCCATGGCCAATGTAATGCTGAGCCGTATACAAGTAATTCCGGACCTTAAAAATAGGGGAAAAACTAACATCATGTCATAATGACAAGACATATTTAAGCTATTTGTATTTTTTTTAGTATGCTCTCAGAAATGGAGAATAAATTGTGTGCATTAACACCAGCGAAGGACTTCTTCATTCTTCGTAACTTGGTGAGAAGGCTCCCTACATAGAAAAAGACATCTATCTAAGCAGTGCAGCAAGCACTCAACAGCAAGTCTTTCAAAGACATGTGATCTCTCAAACAGATAAAAAACATTCAAAGTCTTCTCTGCCTGGGAGTGTCCCCAGAAGGAGCCTGTAACACTACGAGTGTCCTTTTGACTGCTCTATAGCGGAGGTCTCTGAGATACATCTACAGTAATCTAGATTTAAAATTCCTTATGTGTAGTGGTGTCTGTATAACGGTTTCTTGTACTCTCCCTCTCCGGCTTGGCTTGTGCTTGGCTCGGATTCTGGATTATTTGCCCATCGCTAGAGATGTCCTAGTCTGAGTCAGAGTCCAAGTCAGATGACTCTTGTTGCTGTATCATCTTCTGGGCAGCCTCATCTAGTGGCTTCAACCTTCCATCAGACGTTACTCCCATTGGTTGGATGATTTGTTCCCTGCATCAATAAAATAATGACATTTACACTGCAGTTATAAAAAAAAAAAAAAGTAAATTTAGCCAATTTGTGAATGTTAAATGGTTAGCAAAACGGGTAGAAAACCACAGATCAAGCTATGATTGGCTTCCGTAGTATGCTGGTGCCTCACCTCGATAATTTGTCAAACATGCTGACCAGCTTCATAGCTTCATATTCTTTCTGCTCTTCGGTCATTCCATCCATAGGGTTCGGCAGTTTTTCTTCAACGCGCCCGGTCACAGGATTAATACTGCAGAAAAAAAAAGTAGAGTAGTAGATTATAGAAGATTAAAATATTTTTTATGTCAGTGACAATAGGTAAGCTATGGAGAGTACATACAAAACATTGTAGATAAAAACCTTATGAAACACTTATCTACAACGCTTTGGGGAGTTATTTAAACTACACTATATCATGGGAGAGGAAATGAAAACAAAAAACTGAAAAAATAAAAAAAATTAAAAATAAAAACAGGGTGAAAGACAATACTGAAAATGGACAACAGCTCAAGTAGCTTCCCTTTGGTGACATACAGCAACCCCAGACATTTGTTTTGACCTGGTTAGGCCTCATCAGCGAGGTATAGCAGATACCCCTCGAGGCACTGTGAGCAAGGTCTGAATTACCTTTAAATATAGAGAGTTGAAGAAGAAAAAAGAAAAATGGATGCAAGAGAATACTGAGAAAGGACAACACCTCAAATAAATTTGTTGGACCCCTGCTCAGCTCTCAAGCTAGTTTTAGCTTATCTTGTGCCATTACAAAGAGGACCTAGGCTGTTTGCATATCAGACTTGTGCCACCAAAAAGGGCAATCCAGATATGAAATGCAGGCCGGATTCTCTGCCGAAGACAATGCATACTTCCTACTTTAAAGTTCGGTGGAGGAGGAATAATGATCATAGGGTGTAACAAAGTTTTAGGAAATTGGGTGCTCTACATTTCTGGTAAAAGTTTGGGAAAGGCACTTTCCTTTTCCAACATGACTGTGCCCCTGTCCACAAAGCAAGGTCCATGAGGATATGGTTTGAGGAGTTTGATGTAAATAAACTTGAATTGCCTGCACAGAGCCCTGACCTGAACTCAACTGACTTGGAACACCGATTCTGAGCGAAGTTTTCTTGTCCAGCATTAACGGATGACCTCAAAAAAGCTCTTTTAGAGGACTGGACACAAATTCTCAGAATAGTGGTAGCTGTTGTACCTGCAATGGGGGGCTAAGCCCCTTATTGATGAACATAGTTTAGGAATGGGATTTCTAGAAAGCTCAAATAGGTGTGAACATACTTTTGGCTTTATAGTGCATATTAAAATAGATAAAGAGTAAATCCACAGTGGATGGAGACATGAAAAATGGTACTTGTAAAAATAATTGATTCACACCACGTTTATTTCCAAACATGGCAAACAAATACACAACTAAGATAGTCAAAGAAACTATGTTGAAATAAAATTTCACCTGAACTTTGAAGAATCGAGCAAAGTTTGTCAGCCAAGTGTGGACAAGTTGGATAACAGGTTTTTATTAAGAAATAACAAAATATCAGTTGACCACTCTGTAACGCAATATTAAGCAATCAAGTCAATGCAGGACCCAATATATGAATGCACAATTACATTGTTTTAACCAAATTGCTTAACCGCTTAAGTGAGAGAGAGAGTTCTCCTTGGACCCCAACTGCTGAAGATCCTCCAGAACTACAACAATTGTGGAGACTTCAGATACATTTGGCATGAGATTTAAAGAGTTCAAAGTTGTAAGACCTAAGTTGATCAGTTAATTAAATTGGATGATGCTGAGAGAATTGGATGATGCTGAGAGATGAAAATGAACCATGAAGAAAATTGCAAATAGAATCCGTAGCAAATAAATCCAAAGGTTCCTTCAAAGAATTTCAAAGTACTTGTTGCCTAATGTTCCTTGTAGCTAATAAATGTAAAGTTCCATTTCAGAGACTATAAAAGTGAATTTTTCAGAGTATTATCTTGCAACATTTTGAAGAATGATCTTAAAGTCTATATGTTATATTGTACTCACTTGGGTTTTGCTTCTCTGTACTCCTCGGTATCAGTGTCTTCATCCTCAGAATAATGACCTTCCCCACGACCACCAGCCAAAAGACCTCTGACTGCCAGCAAACCAGCTGCATTACCATATCCAGTGTATTTAACAAAACGAGACACTAAATCCCAAGAAAGGAAAATGGTAGACCATTTAATTACACACATTTATGACACATATAAAAGTATAGGTACATTGTGCTGAGCTCTCTACACAGTAGACACCCCGACACTAGAATGATAAAAACCACACACAAAAACATAGATTTTTTTCTGATGATGACTGAAAATTAGTCGACCTGGTCTGCCAATTTCTATTCTGAAAGCAAAAGCACGACACTTGATTTGGGTTCCTCCTAAGTAATGCTGTGTGTCTATTCCAAGCTTTCTTTTAAAATGGCACGGTCACCCCCCGTTTCACAGAAATTCCAACCCAGTCAAGTGATATACAGAGACAAAGTAGGGACCACTTTGTTTCTGTATTTCCCCTCTGTATTTCCCCTGCAGCCGTCGTCCGCGAGGACAGCAGGGAATTGGCCGTGTCTAGAGGATTCCCCGTGGATTTGCGGAATCCCCCATAGACCTCCATGCTGTATCTTTATGCATGCGCGAGAGCACAGCAGTGATGCCAGCGCCAAGAAGGACCACACTGGATCAAGCAGGCAGCGCATGCGAGGGACAAGTTCAGGTAAGTAAACTCACCTTTACCTACCCTCGGGCCACCAGCAGCGATGTCACAGTTGGGGAGTTTGCAACGTCCTCCACAGAGATTTATCCCCTCTTCTGAAGGCATTTTCCTTTCATCTACAACTGTTTGTGCCAGAAGGTTTAGGAGCACAGACTTTAATTGGGGAGGAGCACATACATTTTGGAGCATAGGAAGCTAGTAAACATAGATTTTAGGTTTTTAGTTCACTTATTTGGGGCTAAAATTTAAAATTCCTCACAATTCACATTTTAGTGTTTTCCTGGACATAGATCATCTCAATGTGCTAATTGGCAGCATACATAAATTTCTACTCTGCAGTATACGGAATTCAAATGCTGCATAAATAAAAAAAAGTCAATAACTCAAGAACAACTTTGATTTGATTCTGCTTTGATCCAATTATCGATTGCCATCAGCACGTAATTACTGCATTCCTGCAATGCAACACTTTTCATGTGATGCCAATCAAGCAAGAAAAAGTACATTGTGTCCAGAAGCACATGATGGATCTGCCAAGAATAGGCAGACCGACTGGAAAATATTTGTGCTGTGACGACCTAGGTTGCCATGAGTGCTTGATCGCAAGTAAATGATTACCGTGGTCTGCACCTGATACAGACTCCCAAAAAGTTTTGGCACAGCTAGAGTAGTGGCCTAGGCTGGGTTTAAAGAAAGGGTGTCCAGGGCCACCGTACTTGCCCGCACGCGTGGTCCTCCTCCTTTTATCTGCTATGGGGATGCTCAGTAAACTGATCGTACCCACACTATGGCTACAAAAGCTTATGCAAAGCTGATTCACTTATAAGTATTTTTCTGTCTGGAGAGAAATTAGCCGTGCATGCACAGTCTGTGACTCAGGTCAATCCAGGTCCTAAATTTGAAATTTACTTGGAATTTACTTAGAATGTTTTACAATTCTTACTTGAGTGAGTAACTACCCAATTAGAATACAAGTTAAGCAGACACTTGACATTCGCACTAAGGGTCTAATCTCCATTCTATTCTTTACTAGCTGTGCAGTCTGCATCTACAAAGTTAGCTGGAGCAATCACTAACCATTTTCCTTGCAAAGGACAAACAGGAACTCAGCGGCACAGTGCTTGACATCCGTATCTACATGAGTCATCAGTCTCACTAGCTTATTGCGAAGCGTGTTTCCCACTTCGGGACGGTTTTTCACATCTCTAAGAGGTGGAAGAACCTGCAAAGGTTGAAAGGAGTTTATATCCTGGAAAAAAACATGCCAATATGTATCTACGATGGCTGAAAAATATTTTTCATGAAATTAAACCATAACAAGTTATTGTGAAAGGCAAAACAATTCTGCTCAATATTGCATTATTGAGTGTATTTATTGCATATTATCGCTATACCTTGCTGCTATCGAGCAAACATATACACAACATCTCCTTTTTGAGACCCGACATTCAACGTGCCATCATCTGGTATAGCAAAGCATATCATGGTTTGCCATACATACACCTGGGTAATATAAAAGAAACCAAGGGGAAATACTTCCTCTTGGATAAATAGGAAGGAAAAGTAATGGTCTAAAGAAAGGGGGTATTAAAGAAAGGGGGTATATCCACTAAACAACTGGTAAGACAACCCACACCCTAGGTTGAAATAGATACACAATAAAAGATAAAAAGCAGAGAGAAACCAGTCTACTTGCTCTAACCAGGAGTGGATACCAACACCCAAAGAGTATTAAAAAAAAAAAAAATATATATATATATATATAGATATATATGTAAAAGAATATAGATAGATGAATTAGCTAGTAGCATACATAGTATCAAAGCAACATAGATAAATAAAAAACAGACCTTAGTCACAGCTGAGTAAATGTATCTTACTAGATAAATATAAACTGTATCAGTGCATAAAAAATGGTCCACAGTATCAGTTTAGGTAGAAAGTAAAAATTATAGTTCAGAGATCAGTCCAAAAGTGTCTATTCACTGTTAGCTCATATATATGTGAATAATGGCTTGTATACCCTCTTTTATTATACACCTGGGTAATGTTTAAATTGGGTGGAACAAAGTAGGGAGTCATTCCATATACCATGCGAACATTTATGATGCAAATAACATGACAAATGCGCTTCCAACGAAGGAATTCAGTTGACTCATCAATAAAGCATATCTGAGAGAGGGGTAAAGTTAATGGAAGAATACAGGAAAAAGAAAAAAAAAAAAAAAAAAGAGGGAGAGGGGAAATTAATGGGTAGGCTATCTGGTTTCTGACAAGGTCCATCTAATGAAGCAACCCAGTTCAGTCTTACCTTTGCACGGAGGAATTTTCGCGTCTCTCGATGGACACGTGAACTTTCAGTCAGCAGGTTCAGGACGGGTGTCAGTGTCTCTCTTAACTTGTGGCCCTGCAGTATAAAACCAATATTCAAAATTAATGTAGATGTATATTTTAGGGAACAAGGCCGTTCAAGGACAGTCTCACGTGGCAAAAAGCGAGCCGTCTACAACAACCGGCCTCACTACAGCCTAACCAGACTAAGACAGGCAAAACAACATGGAAGATTTAGGTCAAGGCAGCTGTAGATACCTTTTTCCAAAAATGAAAAATATTAAAATTTTGTGATTTTTTTAATATATTTTTCTACATTATATTTTTATGATATTTTAATAGGCTGAAAAAAATTATTTTAAAGGTTTGTCTAAAAAGATTAAATTGTATGGAAAAAAACGTATCCAACAAGATTAAATAGATGCATTAGTCCTCATTTACTGTTTAGTAAATAAACTATAGAGTCTATTTTAATTACTTTCCCTAAACGAGATGCAAGATGAAATTTAAATCAGATGCAAGGCACAGAAAATTCTAAAAGAAAAGCTGCCTTTTCCACTGAGGTACGGTTGCAATCTATGGTGGACTTTGTGGAAGGTGACTAACCCTGTCTAGTCTCCTGTCCAGGAACTGAAGGAGAACCTCTACTGTGTCCATATTCATCCCCATGTATTCCACCGAGCCAAGCTCGACTTTGGGTGTCAGCAGCACATCAAGGCACATGAGAGGCAGATTAACCAGCAGGTTCACGGTGTGCCTGAAAACAGAACAAAATGGAATCTCCTGTTATCTTCCAATCCACGCTACGTCTCATATAGAACCTGTATAAGAATGTCATATCTCAACATTTGAAAGATATTTAGTGCTACTTAACTTCCGTGTATTTGATGGGACGGTCCTCAATCAGAGCTTCTCTCTCACTTTCCTGGGTTTGCTCCCTTGTGTTCCCAAAGGTCATCCCTGGTGACCTCAGCAAGCTTCAGGAGTCTGTCCTAAGTAGGGTTGACCTCTTTGGGCATCACCAGTGGTGACACAAGTCGCATACCTGGCACCTCACCCCCCACCCACTTAGGCTCTGATCTAGACTGCGTGTAATGTAGCCTGTGTGCACTATTTTGTGATGACTATATATTTATTCACACATATCTCTTTTCAGTGAACCCTAACCTTGCGCTCTCTGTGTGGCCATATTGAGCCAGAAGCATAGATTAGTGTCCATTTCATCAATTTCAAAAGAATGAGAGATTGAGCTGAGCCTGCTGGGGATAAGACTTAAAATTCTATAATGATACAGGGGGAGCAGTAACCACTAACACCTTATTTTATCCATCTTACCCATGAAACTCTTCTGTTCTGTCATCCCCATCACTCTGCCTGATTAGACAGTGCCTGAGAATAGCCGCTAGGTGGCGATAGAGAGCTGCATCTTCCTGTTGGTAATATAATTTTTTTTATAAATGATTAGTGATTTATCATTACTACAGGATGGAGAGTTCATTAACAAAGCTATCTCAAGGCTGACTGAGTATCAAGTAAATGCTTTTTACAAGCACGCTTTGCAAGGATTATATTCATGCACATTCAAAAGGATGAATCCTTACAAAACTAACAAGAAAAACTAAAAAATATATAAATAGAATTATTCACTAAGGTGCAAATTGTCAGAGATTCAAAGTGAATTTCTAATTAAGACCAAAATAGCCATATTTGGGGGGGGGGAAGTCTATGTTTTTAATTCTAAAATTTTTAAATGTTTCTTCCCCCCCCTGACAATACACACTTGAATAAATAAAAATAAAAAAAACTGTTTACGTCAGAAATTAGAGTGAAAATGATGAATCATAAGGAAATCTGAACTGTATGATTCATAATTTGTGGAATCATTTCTGTCGTTAAAGAATATGAAAGGGGAAATGGGAGGATTTTTGGTCGGGCAGCTTTTATGGTTTTATATCAAACTGTTTGTAATGTTTTGACGCAAGTTGGGGCACATCTCCAACCCTAGGGGCCTCCCTATTTTGGCTACATTGATAACGTGGAATAATACTTACGTCATCAATATTAATTTCTGTACGGGTTTCTAGTGTCCTTTGGTAAACAACCAATGCAACAAGCTTAATTCAGAAGGCACTGTAAATATACAGCTCATTATAGTGATTATGGTGTGAAGGAAGTATGGGCGCAATCGCATTATTTTTTCTCAGTTTTGGAGCAGTTTGAAAACAACGGGTTCTCTGCTTAGCACCCGTAGCTCATTCCCTCTTGAGTCGCATATGTATTGCAAAATTAACACGTTAGCATTAACTATATCAATTCTGTCCAATATGTTTGGCAGTGATTGGCTGAGACCAATTGTAATCACTCTAGGTTGCCTTACCCGCACCTCACCTCGTCTACTTCCCTGCGGCTGATATCGAAAGTGATATTGAAGAGGGTCTTCAAGATTTCCATCACCCTCTCTGTTTCCTCTTTTCCCAAAGGTGGAGCAAGTCGATCTGTGACAACCTCATAAATGTCGGACCACTTCAGAGCAAGGGTACTTTCCAAAGCATCGGTGAGAAGACTGATGCCCCTTAGCTCTCTTGCCAGCTGCCTACGCACATCCACTCTCAGGGCAGTAAGGAGGAAGAGAAGACGAAGGTCAAAGAATTTGCACTCATGAGACGATCGGGTTTCATTGTATAATTTTAAACGGCGAGCTAGGCCGCACACTAGACGCAGGTCTGTGGCCACCTCTTGGGCTTCCACGCTGTTGTATACAATGTTACACAGCCCCTTCAGAGCTTCAACAACGCTCTCACTATCTGGGATTCGAGGAACTTCTAACTCATCTGAGTAGTCCAGACCTGCATATTTGGCCAAGGTATGCATTGCAGAGCGGCTGGTGAAGGGGGACAACCCATACTTGTCTCTGGATAGGATACGAATCGTTTCCAAGCAGGCCACCTGGCACGAAGGCTGTAGATCCCGATCCAAGAACTTTACCACCACCTCTCCAAGTTTCTAAATACAGGATAAAACCAGAGACAGCATGATATACCAATTAGATTGTATTTACTATACTTAAACGTTGTTCAGTAATATACGTTCATTGTTTTATTCCGTGTTAATTCAAATATACTACAAACTAAAGCAGAATTACAGCACTTGAGAATAGCGTTGACAGGACAATATAAACGATGAGATGAAGACTAATAGCTAAACACAAAATGGTTTAATTAGGAACAATATTTCTTGATGTCCTATTCTTTGCTACTTTTATTGTGCACTTAAAAGTGTGGATGTCTATTATCCTTCATTGTTTAGCTATGAAATAATGCCAATATCAATAATGTCTCGTTTAACTATCCACAGTCTCTCTTAGCCCACATCCATCTCCACTCACATAGAAAAGAAATGAAATATATGTACAGGGATGGAACCCAGCTCCTAATTTTCCCAAAATCTCACATAGCTGTTTGTTTTACTGGGTCATGTAAGAAAAACAAAAACCTAACTACAATGGACACTCTAAAGAGCAAAACCACCAGCGTTTAGTAGTGATGGTGCCAAGAGTGCCTTAGAACCCCCAAGGTCCTAGCAGGCCCTTCCGGTTCTCAATACCAGAAGGTGAGAAGCAGGAACCACCGCCCAGAGGACACCAGATAAAAAATTCAAACCGTTCGCAAAAGGTTTGACTATTTAGACTGGGGGCATGGACCTCCTAGCACAATAACTGCTACAGAGCACTGCAGTGGTTATGGTAATTGGAGCATTTTATTTTTTTTAAGCAGATGGAGTACAACCTCTGATAATCTTATACATTGAATAATTGGAAATATCGTAATGTTTGGTACAATAATAAAATTGCATTTACCACCCACTGCAATTCAGCTTGCACTCGTGGTCGCAATATAAATCACATGAATAAAAGGTTATCCAATCCAAATATTTGCAAGGACATAAAATAAATGGACAATGAGTATAATAGCAAGAATGGTACAGATGGAAGATCGTCTGTGCCTGCGTTTGGCCAACCTGTACCTGAAAACATCCCTGTTAGCTAACTCCCTAAAAATTCTAGACATTCAATCTATATTAAAATAATAATTATACCAATAATGGTACATTGAGATAACCCCTTTATTTCTAGATAGATCCAGTTTTATTATTGTGCAACTCACTCATTTTATCGACCTCAGAAAGTTGAAAGGCTGAAATGGCTACGCTGTGAACTGAAACCTAGAGGATCAGAGCAGTACTGACGCATTAACCAACTAAGCTAGATCACAGGAAACCACTGCTGTTTAGGGAAATTCTTCTAATGACGTTAAAATCTGATTTGAAGTATACAGCAGGTTAACAATCTGTTCCTATATCACAACTCCTACTGCTACACTTTGGACTAGGGATCATGGGACTTAGTGTCCACAAATATACATTTACTACAGATTTGTTTAAACAGCAATTGGATAAATACTTCCAAAAACATAACATACAGGGATATAATTTCTAATTAGTGGGGTAATAGCTGCTTGATCCAACTGACTGCCATTTTTGGGTCAAGAAATAATTTTTTCCTAGTGTGTTGCAAAATTGGAAGCGCTTCAGACTGGGTTTTTTGCCTTCTTTTGGATCAACAGCAAAAACAAATGTGAGGAAGGCTGAACTTGATGGACGCAAGTCTCTTTTCAGCTATGTAACTATGTACAGGTACTGTACACTGGTACTGTGGGAGAGGAGATATTGTAATCTGCTATACCTTTGGGGGAGTTAAATTAATTTATTACACTAGTGCTGTGCAAGAATTTTAAAGAGGTTTTATGGGGGGGAGATAAAACCCAGCAGTGAGACCTTAATCTGATAAGTGGCAGTCTGGCAGACCTAATGTATAGTAGGCCCCTATGTAAGAATTTGAGGGTTCCCCAACCACATCCCAGTGGAATTTTCACTTCCACTTTGACGCACGACACTTGCACACGTTACTTCTGTGAATATATGGGGACAACAAACATATACGTGGAAACATTATGTGTGCTTAATTGTATGTGCACACTGAATGTGAACACACACACACACTCATACATAGACATATATTCTATTATAATATTACACACTAAGCCACATACACACATCCTCAAACTAACACACACCTGGTAACCCACACAAAATCCTCTCTAAGTACTATTAGTGTCATGTGCAGCTACTGACTGATCATCACACAACAGAAATAATCGAACAATATTATCCCACAGTCCCAGTGTCTCCCTGCCCTGTCTCCACTACTCCTTCCCTGAAGTCCCAGTCACACTGAGCAGTGGATTTCACCGCTCAGGCATCCATTCTACCTGCACACATAATATTGAGAGATATAGCAGCTAGTGGGCAGTTACATAGCAAATTAGTGCATGGCTGTGCAAACCCAGTAAAAGGAAGCTCTCAGCAGCCATGACTGATTTGGGCAGACATGGAGACACATGTGGACTGATATAAGAAACGGAGTAATTCATTTCAGGTGTCTCTGTTATAGGCTTTTACCAGGCTTGTCAAAGAGAGGAGTAGTAGAGACAGTCCAGGGGAACTGGGAGAGGAGGGTCAGGGAAGTATTATTATCGTGAGCAGTCTCCAGTCATCCCTACCCCTGGCACAGTCCCTGCTGAGCCGTATTATACCCCTCTGGGCAGATGGGGAGGTAGGATGAAGAAAAACACTTTAACTGTGCTTCGTTTCCCCCTTTTGTACGGATCCACATTGAAACTGGGTAATAAATCACGATTCTACAGGGACAATCAATCTAATCTCACCTGACGCAGTCTCAGATCGTGATCCTTTGAGAACTCCAAATCATAGTCAGAGAAAGATTTAGGGACCGAGTCCCGGAATTTCTTTTTCCTGAACTAAAAAAGGCGCGAAAGCATGAAAATGAAGATGGAAGAAAATGACAGTGGTGTTAGGATTAGGATAGCGAGGGTCTAGAAAAAGGAACACTACAATGGAAGGAACCTAGAAAATGAGACACAGTCCAACGGAACCCTTGGGATATAAAACTAGAACACAGGTTGCAGACCAAGTGGCAGGCTGACGCTGCAATGCATGCTATGACAGTGAAGCAGAATAAGTGCTTATAGTGATTATTGTGCAGAAAACAAGTATCATAAATTAATTAAACAAAAAAAACTGTGTATAGTATGCTACCTGAAACAGATTCACATTCATAATCCCTATAGGTTGAAGTGGAGGAGGGAACAGGTGCCTGGGGGGACCACCAGTAAGACGCCAGATCGTGATATAAAAGTAGGAATACTTGTAATGGGGGTGTTCCAGGGCACCGTGGCAAAAGTCTTACAAATAAAGACCCTGTTAAAGTTGGACAGACTGTGAGTTTACTCTGTTAGTTTGGTAGGATCCAGTAGATTATGTTGGTCTCAAAACATCTGTTATTTTTCTCTCCTTAAGAGACATACAAGGTAAACGGGTAACAAGGACCCGGCCGGACAGGTGGTCAGAAACAAAAGATACGGTAGATAATGTTTGCAAGTTCGATTACCGGTATTTAATCTTTGAATTATAGTTTTAGATACACGTTAAGATGTCTAACATAATAACGAATGCATTTTGACGATACATAAAGCCAAGCAATGATGAGTAATGTGAAAAAACGAGATGTAATACCACAGAGAAACCTATGTGACACCATATGATTCTGGAATGTTCTGTTATACACAATGTTTATGTCAAATGCTTCAATCACAAATAAAGTATTTAATAAAAAAAAAAAAAGACATACAAGGTATGTTGTCCTTATCATTTGTGCACTGGTTTTGTTTTTTTTGCTTTTTTTTTTTCAATCTTGAAACTATTTTGCCAATTTTGAGAGATTCCGACTTGCTGTGAGGGAATTATATATTGCATATGTACCGCACTGAACACATTTACCACAATGTATTTTCAAACAGTTACGATGAGCAACCTGTGAATGTAAAGCTTTAACCACTAGGAATTTATATATACAATGCATGTACAAATGTTTGTTCTCGGCGATGAGTACGGAGTAGTCTTGAAAACACCGTGTACATACCAGGCAGCCTATTTTTATTCATGATATTGTGACAATTTTTTGACCATTTGTTTTTATGATATCGATGGTAAAAATGCTACATAGAGCATTTGCATTTTATAAGAAAATGTAGATATGGGCCGGCTTCATTTATTAATGCCGTATCACTTCATTTCTCTATATATAGGTTGTGCAGTGTATATATTTCTATGTAATGTTTATCTGATGGCTGTTTTAAAGGACCACTATATTGCCAGGAAAACATACTTGTTTTCCTGGCACTATAGTGCCCTGAGGGAGCCCCCGCCCTCATGGTTCCCCTCCCGCCCGGCTCTGGGCGGGGAGCTCTCCGCCTCCTCTCCTCCCTTTCGGCTGAATGCGCACGCGCGGCAATAGCTGCGCGTGCATTCAGCCACTCTCATAGGAAAGCATTTACAATGCTTTCCTATGGACGCTTGCGTGTTCTCACTGTGATTTTCACAGTGAGAATCACGCAAGCGCCTCTAGCGGCTGTCAATGAGATTTGGATTTGGAGGCTGGATTAACCCATTTATAAACATAGCAGTTTCTCTGAAACTATGTTTATAAAAAAAAGGGTTAATCCTAGAGGGACCTGGCACCGAGACCACTTCATTAAGCTGAAGTGGTCTAGGTGCCTAGAGTGGTCCTTTAAGTTCACTGGTCAAACTGATTTTGTTACACATTGCTGACATTAGCTTAGAAAACTCATGGCAGCTTGGAATTCCCTGCTGGTGGGGTTACCTGCTGGTGGGGTTACCAGTTCTGAAAAGAATCCTTTAACCCCTTAAGGACCAAACTTCTGGAATAAAAGGGAATCGTGACATGTCAGACAGGTCATGTGTCCTTAAGGGGTTAAAAAAAAAATCTTATAATAACATTAAGGGTCCTTTTGGAGTTACAGTCAGGTCCATAAATATTGGGACATCGACACAATCCTAATCTTTTTGGCTCTATACACCACCACAATGGATTTGAAATGAACAAGATGTGCATTAACTGCAGACTATTTGCAATAATTACACTTGCAGGGTTAAGGGTGGTGGAAATTGGCACCCAGACCACTCCAATGGTCAGAAGTGGTCTGGGTGCCTGGAGTGTCCCTTTAATGATTTGCAATTTAATCCTGTAAATCTGTTTTCAAGTTTTTATTTTGGTTCTGATCAGCTGGTAGGAACTTTGATACAAATTTGTTACACAGCATACAAATGCTAACAGCAAGACCAACACAGTCACATTTTTAAAGAAACACTGTATCCACCCATATGACTTCAATGAAGTCGTCTGGGTGCAGTGTCCTGTGCCTTTAACCCTACAATATAAAACATTGCTGAGAGCTGTGACACAAAAGCCCATAGGAAAGCACGGATTCCCGTGTAGAGCTAGGGACAGGGGCACTATAACTTTAGGAATACAGGTTTACGTTTCCAACACTATAGTGTTCCTTTAATTTATTTTATTTATTTTTTTAAGTGGTTATGTTGACTAGAATGTCCTGGATTCTTCCCGAGTTTAATTCCACACCATTTTTATTTAAACTGGTGCTCTCCCTGGTGCCCAAAGTCAACTCCTTCTGACACATTGATAACGCAGCATTATTCCAGGTTATGTTATTCCTACCAGCTTGGATGGCTCCCCCAGCAATCTCAGCCAAGCAGAGCAATCCATGTTTGATGAAATTGACAGTGATAAAGCAGCAAAGGAGAGCGCAAGCTCTGAACAAGACCCCAGTTTGACATTAAACTAGGGGAGGGCATTAGGACACTCTAGGCAACCTAACCAATACAGAGAGTAGTAGTGGTTACCTTGCCTAGAGCGTCAGTTTAACGTAGCAGTGGTTATGGTGTTATGAGTCTATGGGTGATGTCCTGTTTTCTGTCAAACTATTTTCAAGACGTTTGACAAGAGCAGGTAATCTCCTGGCACCCAAAGCACAACTTCATTGCAGCCACATTCATAATGCAGAAAATTAATGTTTGTATTATCTGTGCAAAGCTCAAGGTTTCTGACTCTTTACTTAGCAATGGTCTAAAGATTGTGTTATTAATGTAACAGTCTTGATGATTACAGTAATTACAATTATTATTTACTATTGCCAAACTCTTCCCTATTGCTTTTCTGTGTCTTCTTCCTGAATACGTGAAAATTTCCTGCTAAGAATTAATTATGGATTTCAGAAGCACCGTGACTGGCTGCTGCATAGTTCACATAAGCCAAATCATTAACTGTCAGCTCTCGCAGTGCTCACCCACGCTACAGCCAAATAAAGCAGAGACCCCTTGCAGAACCCTGGGGAATTCAGCAGTAACTGATTCATGGTATGATAGAGATACAATAAAAAACCTTGATTGAACAACCAAGCTCTGTCTTTACTTTCCAAGCCCTGTGATAGCAAAATAACGAAGATCTAGATCGCTTTCACACACAATGTGTTAACGCCGGCAACTACAGCACTATAGCAAAGGATCATAGCAGATGAAGACAAACAGTAGCATTAGTACACACACACACCTCTCTCAGAGTACAAACTGTGTTCATTTCAATGAACAATTCATACTGCTTCACACTAAATCATCTTCTCAGGTATGCATGAATATTCCCAATAAATGGGCAACTTAAAGCAGCTCCACCATCTGAACATCAGGGTAATTTAACTATCCACCTTCTCAACGTCCCAAAACGGTGTATGTATTGGTCCCCTGTCGATCCTGGGCTGCCGGATCTCTCTTCCAGTTAGTGGCATCTACTCTTCTCATGACGTGCGGTGCCTGACTTGCGAAAGGACTGCGTGATACATAGTTACGTAGCTGAAAAGAGACTTGCGTCCATCAAGTTCAGCCTCGCTCACATTTTTTTTTGCTGTTGATCCAAAAGAATATGCAAAAGAGATCTATTTGGATCAAGAAGCTATTGCCCTAAATAAAAATGATATTCCTGTATATTATGCGTTTGCAAGTATTTATCCAATTGCTGGTTTAAACATATGTATAGACTCTAATAAAAATCACTTATTCGGGCAGAGAATTCCACATCCTTATTGTTCTTCTTATATATAAAAAAAACCCTTTCCTTTGCCTTAGACTAAATCTCCTTTATTCCAGTCTAAACACATGACCTCGTGTCCTATGTATAGTCCAGTTTGTGAATAGATTTCCAAATAATGGTTTGTATTGGACCCCGAAAATATTAGTATAATGCTATCATATCCCCTCTGAGGCGCTGTTTTTCTAAAATGCTCCATTCCTTTTATAAAAATGCTTGTGCATTGCCAAACAAAACCACGAAAGACCAAACTCATGGAGAAGTTGGGTGTTATATGAGACCTGCAAAATATCTTCTGACAGATCTGACTGCAGTTCTTCCCTTTGACAATTACACATACCGAACGTCCATACGTTCCCTTATGCATAGCAAAAGAATACATAAAAATTAAAAAAAAAATTCAAAATAGGGTTATAAAAGGGAAGCAAAGAAACACAGAGCCAATAAAAAATGATATTGAGATGACAGAGCCGCTTTAGCAACATTTTCATCTGCACACCACAATCACAGGTTCATATATACACACACACACTCTGTCTCAGGCCTGCGTGGGACTGTGCTTTAGGAAAAGAAGACTCTTTGCTTCTTGCAGCTAATTAAACATGTTACCTCTGCCAAATCGTGTTGCTGCATTTCAAATACGGAAAGGGATAGAAGAATAAAAAGAAGTTTAAGGAGAAATAACAGTCACAACAAAATCAGCAGATGATGGAAAGGAAGTGAAGACTGTGTTAACAGCTTTGAACAACATTCATCAAAATATGAGTTGCCCCAGGCCAGAAAAGGAGGGATGTTGTTATTACAAAGCTAGCAGGAAATGGTGAGTGACTTTGATGGAATACATTCTATTATTACCCATTGTACAGCGCTATAGAATTTGCTGGTGCTATATAAATAATAAATTTTGGAGCTGCTGAAAGTACAGCAGTGAGTTGCATAACTTCTCATGAATCAGAACATCTATATGGGGGGGGTAGATGGGTGATGAGACAGAGAGAGAGAGAGAGAGAGAGACAGAGAGAGAAAGAGAGAGAGACAGAGACAGGGAGAGAGAGAGTATGTGTAGTAACAATGTTCTGAGCAAGAAAGTAGGTTAACATTCTGAAACAGAATAGTCACAGATCTATCACAGTACTGTACAACTAACCTTGCGTTGCTCCCTTTGTTCTGTACTGAAGAAAAAGCACTGTGAATTCTGCAAAAAAAAAAAAAAGGATTATATTAAAAGGCGGCCCATCAGTAAATCTTTCTGTAAGCGTTTAATATCTTTTTAGTAGAAGCTGTCTCTGTGGACATTTAATAGATGTAGCATATTTAAACTTAAGCCCGTATGGTATCCAAGGCCATTGAGGAGATATCAAAATTAGGGGTGTTACAAAAAACGTAATAAAAAAAATTAATTTAAAAAAAAAATCTTCTCCTGAGGAACGTCAACTCCCATGATGCTTTGCCATGAAAGTCATGAAATTTCCCAACAGATGGAGTTGACCTAAATAGAGTTTTTTAAAAAATGTTGTGATTATCTAAAAAAAAATATATACATTCTTGGTCCTACAAATTGCGACAGACAAATTAAGTTACACAGACACATACTGGGCTATTTACTAAAGTTAGAATTCAAAGTGAATTTTAAATTAAAGTTTGGAGCAGTGAACCTCAAAGCAGACTAATTTAAAATATTTTCATTTACCTCTTTTGATCTTAAATTTGAAATTCACCATGAATTCTCACTAGTGAATGTAGTGGTGAAAAAAAATTAAATAAAAAGTTAAATATAATCATTCTATACATCCTTAGGTATGGAAATATTACCTAACCCAGAAAATATAAAATAAATAGCTTATATTCTATCAGTGCGTATACAGAATTCACAGGTAAAACTGTTCAACAATATCCAGCAGTTAATATTAAGAATATCTAGGAGACAGGAAAAATATCAGCACTTTCTGACTGTACTTGCTGCTAATATAGTAGTTTAGTCACACTGACTATATTCATTAAAAGAGATGAATTACATTCCGCTGCCAATCAAATACACCAATTAACTCCTAGAGTGCCAGCTTTCATATTTTAACAATCGTGTTCCACCATGCCAGTGCCGGACTGGGAAGAAAATTCGGCCCGGGCATTTTTTAATTACAGTGGCCCACTTAAAAGGGGGCGGGGCCAGATAGGGCGTGTTTTGTCATCACCAATGACAAGCACACCCCATCACAAAGTGAGCATGTTTGTTCAATGCTCTTCCAGGGTAGATCATGTGCAGAGCTCTGCTGAAGAGCTCTAGCATGAGAAAAATACCCTGTATTTGTTCTGCACAGCACAAGCGAATTTAATAACATGCTTGCACTGTGTTTGCTTGAAATTTGTCTCTGGTGTCTCCATAGATGGGATACCAGGAGACAAAAATGCTTGTGCAGTGTGTGTGTAAGGGGTGTAGTGTGTGTGTGTGTGCGCGCATGATGGGTGCTGTGTTTGCGTGAGGGTGCTATGTGGGTAAGGGTGCAGTGTGTGTGTGCTGTGTGTGATGGGTGCTCTGTTTGCGTGAGGGTGCTATGTGAGTAAGCGGTGTGTGAGGGTGCTGTGAGTGTCAGGGGTGCAGTGTGTGCGAGTGAGGGTGCAGTGTGTGCGAGTGAGGGTGCTGTGAGTGTCAGGGGTGCAGTGTGTGCGAGTGAGGGTGCTGTGAGTGTCAGGGGTGCAGTGTGTGTGAGTGAGGGTGCTGTGAGTGTCAGGGGTGCAGTGTGTGTGAGTGAGGGAACTGTGAGTGTCAGGGGTGCAGTGTGTGCGAGTGAGGGTGCTGTGAGTGTCAAGATTGCAGTTTGTGCGAGTGAGGGTGCTGTGAGTGAAAGTCCTATAACACACGCGTGGGCGTGTTCACGCTGTAAGCGAATCCCAGCAAAAGAAATGGGCTCCCTGAACGAGTGAGGCATTCGTGCAGCAAAACAGGAGAAATGGCGGGACCGGTCGAGAAAAAAACAAAAAACATGCGAACGCCCACCAAGGACTAGAGCGGTACACAGAAATCGATAAACTAGCCAAGGTTAAGGAATAAAGGATCACTATAGGGTCAGGAACACTTGCGCATTGATTAAAATACCCTGAATGTTAATTACATGTTTTGTGTGAACCCAGCTTAGCGTGAATTCATGTTGCACTTTCCCCTGGTCCTCCTAACATGTGGTGGCAGAGCTGGACACTTAGGGGATTAGTAAGGTCAAAAAAGTATGACTTGGCAGCGTTCGCTCGTAATGGTCTGTTTATTGTTCGCATGGTGCAGGCCCGGACTGGCCATCGGGCACACTGGGCAACTGCCCCGTGGGCCGCGGTGCCCATGGGCCAAGGCTGGCAGGGAGATCACAGGATCTCCCCTGCCAGCCCCTGCAGGGCCAGCGCTATCCGAACGCTGGCCCTGCAGTAGTCCATGGCGGGCCGGTGGGGAGATCAAAGATCTCCCTCACCAGCCCACATACAGTATACTGCGGCCGCCGGCGGGGAGAGAGTAAGGGAGCCAGGAGAGGAACCCGGAGGAGCTCTAACCTAAAGCTCCGCCTGGTTCCTCTCGCGAGATTCCCATTCTATCTTATGTTTACCTGTCACCGAGATGCCAACACCCCGCCACAATGTTCAGTGGCCACGTTACCCCCTCGCGCCAATGCATAGACAGAGCCTCTAACGCCGCTTGGCTTTTAGCAGGGCCTCACCTGTCACCAACCCTAGTCTTAATTATTTCGCCTTTTTGGCTTTAGCTAGTATGCCAGCACTCGCACTCACACACACACACTGGGTCTCGTGTACCCCATGGGCTTTACTCCAACACGTATTCTCTTACCTATTGCCGGGCATGCTCCATACGGCCTGACCACCTGGACTCTGACGTGCTCACTCTGCACTTCAGTTACGGTCGGTCCTGCGGTACTTCCTCATTCACCCTCACGTTTTTCGATGCACATTCATCATATCCGTCCTCTCTCACGCTACCTCCCCCCCCCTCTTAGTTAGCTGTGGCTGGCTGTCAGGGTCCTAGGTGTCCACTAGTTATAATTCTCCCTGGCTTCTTCGCCTAGGTTAGTGGTTCTGCGACTCCAACACCCATCCTCATACTCTGAGGTACTACGCCCCACGGGCCAAATCATAGTTATTCGCCTTGCATTGTGGCATAGAGAGGGCCTCACCTGTCACTCCCATTCTATATTATTTTTTAACTGTCACCGAGAGGACAGGCCAACACCCCGCCACGACGTTCAGTGGCCACGTTATCCCCTCGCGCCAATGCATAAATAGAGCCACTCATACCGCTTGGCATCTAGCAGGGCCTCACCTGTCACCAAACTCAGTTTTCAATTGTTTCACGTCCAATTGTTTCACCTCCTTGGCATTAGCTAGTATGCCAGTTCACACACACACACTCAAACACGCTTTGGGTCGCTGACGCGCTGTTTATTCGTCTATTTTCTAGCACTGGCATGGTATTTTTCCACCTGGCTCTCTGGCTAGGTCTGTTACTCATCTCACTATGGTGTTTCGGCTACTCCTACCTTCTTTTGGTGTCCTGCTCTCTTCCTCGCTTCGCTGCGGTTCTCGCGAGTCAACTTATTCCCTCCCCGGCAGCCTTTCGGACAGCTGAACTCTCGGTGTCTTTCCGCCTCCACGGGTACCGCTGTTGCTGGAGGGGGCCCCAAGTTAACTCTTACTTCTCCATTGTTCCCCCCCGGTTTGTCTTCGCTACTGTCGGCGGTTTCGGATGGCAGTTTGGGTCATTGGCATCTGCTGCTCTGGCTGGATCAGAGCCAGACTTCCAGCACCTTTTTCGTACGATCTGTCCTGTGCCTCCCCTACGCTTTCCACATGGCTCTGCCTAAAGCCTCTCCCGTAGCTGCTGCCATTTCCCTGCATTTCGGGGTCTGCTCGCGGCCTACCAGCCTCGTTAGCTCGTGGTCATCATCTTTCACGTCTGGCTCTTTTCTACTAACTCTCGCGGTTTCATGTGTTAGGGCCTTCTTCTCCTTTTGAGGTTTCTTTTCGCGTATACTGTTTCTGTCACTATGTTGTCTGCAATTGGTTTTTGCTTCTTTTGCCACCTCTAACTTGCATCAACTCTACCTATGTGGTTTACAACTTCACATGCTGTACAGGTTTTCCATTCATACGCAGTTTCATGTCCTCCTACCGGTTTATTACCATACTCAAGGCGTTTCAGGAAAATTTTAAATCTTTCGAGTTTTTCCCATTAGCATCCAAGTATTTCAATCTCTATCAGATCTATTAGATGTCTGTCCTTACGAATCAGGCACCAACCTTCAATGTAGGGCAATAACTGCTTGATCCAAGGATAAATCTGACTGCCATTCTGGGGTCAAGAAGGAATTTTTTGCAAAATTGGCAGTGCTTCAAACTGGGGTTTTCGCCTTCTTTTGGATCAACCGTTAAAAAATTGTGAGGAATGCTGAACTTGATGGACATTTAATCTCTTTTCAGCTATGTAACTATGTAATCTAGTTGTTGAGCCGCTATACCTGCTTTCACAGTTTCTTGGGTCCCACATATTTCCCACAACCACCACGTCCATCTAGAAGCATTGTTACAGGTAAGAAATAATGTTCCCTTACCCCAATAATGGGGGGAGAGGAGTTTTTGGAGGGGGGAGGGGACTATGGTAGATTTGGTGTGCCTTCTCTGAAACTATGTATGTGAATTTCTAGCAGAAACTGGCAAAAGAGCCATCTAACACAGAATTTCGTTCTACAGTCAACACACAAAGAAAATCCACAAAAACAATTTTGATTTTGCAAAGGAGGAAGTCCCCATGATAAATATCTATTTTGGAAACACTGTGTTTATTTGTTCCCTCGTGATCACTAATAAACCATTGCTCATTGCTTTCTATATCATTTTGTTCCATCAAAAACAAAACAAAAAAAATCTGTGTACGTTCTGTCCAACAAATATAGCATCCACCAGTGTCAACTTATCACTTACAGCCAATGAGTTCAAGAGAAACGACAGTGCTAAGAAACAAAGTAGTTTTCCTAGCGCTATAGTATCCTATATTGCCCCCCTCACCACCTTGTGTGCCGATAAAAAGGTGTCACTTAATGGATTCCAGCTCTGATGTCCCTCGGCGCTGGGTCATGCTCCGACTCCGCTCCCCCGACCTCAGCTGGGGTTTGAGATGCCTCTGGATGTCCTCATGCAGAGCTTCTGCAGACTGTACTTGTGGTGGTGTGAGAACCCCCAGGTAAGAAGTCAAACCTAAAACGGTTTAACCAATTGTGCTGGCAGGGGATTACAAAGGCACTTCTGGCACCATAACCACTATAGTCCCATGCAGTGGTTATGGTGCTTTTAAAAATAGATGTCACTTCAAGTGACACCCTTTATGTTACATCCCAGATTTAATAGGAACTTCATTCTCAAACAACAACAACAGGTGAGCATGAACAAGAATACCTTTTTCCAGGGGGGAAAAAAATGAGTCATGCCCAGATACTGTTGATTTGAGCAGAGCACTCACTGGGGAACAATTAAATACTGTTTGTGTAACAGTGTCTGGATATTATATATATGCACTACAAAGGTTCTGACAAAACTGTTCTATGTGGAAATTGAGCTCTGCTGCAAGTTAAGCATGTTTAATTACTATTGATTATTCTGGTGTATCACAATATTTTATTGGTATTTATGCAATTCCTTTACGCAGGCTTTGATATAAAAATAATGTGCCTTCATTTTGGGGGTTTTCCCCCCAAATAAAAGTTTATAGGAAACATTTTTAACAAGAAAAAAATATATATCATAATGTGTGTATGGTAACGTACCATAAAAACAGTGTGGCCCCATGATGTTATTTATTGTTGGCAGTGCAGAGTACCAGGCTGTTTGGGTGGGTTGGGGTACATGTGGGATCGGTTTGTCTTACAAATTATACATTTGCTGTTAATTTCACCAGAAAAAGGTGTGAATGTCGTCTAAAAATAAATAAATAAATAGGTCAAATAATACAACTACAATTATTCTTTTTAGACGTCCCAACTAGGCCTATCCCATTTTGGCCAAAAAATGTGCCATATGTGCCGAACATTACACACCCCCACCCCCCCAGGGCAGGTTGTTAATTTTTTCAGCAGCAGAGGACCTGACATCGGTTCCCACGAAACCCAGCACAATGAGCTGCCAGGTATAGATTATATAAACTACTTATCTGACCATCAATCAAACGTGCGGCGCACAGGAGTTGTAAACACCAGAGAAAGTAGCGCACGGAAGTAGAACTGGTACAGGACAAGCCATAAGCTGCGTTCTCTAGTGTTTGTAACCCCTGTGTCGCAGTGCGCTTTCTAGCAGGTGTCGGAAGGCTGGGTGGTCATGGGACGTGGAAGCGGACGCCTTGATGACAGACGCTGCCCGTGAAGCTGTCCCGGAGAGCATGCAGCCTTGCAGGCCTGAGGGCTTTGATGGGCTGGGGTACCGGGGAGCCGCCTACGGTGCGGGCCGAGGGGAGGACTGCCAGCTCTGCTTCCCGGCAAGGTCATTCAGCTACTCGGGGGACCTGTCCCAGCACTTGGTGACCACCCCACCGGACATCCATGGCAGCTGCAACCTCCACTGGGGGTAGAAAACACCTGTCTATGGGGGAAATGGCAGAGGAGAGCAGCAGCCATGGGGATGAGAGGGTCGAACCTGGACAAGACATATAGCAGCCACAGTCACGGGTGCTTAAGAACTACAACTCCCATGATGCTATCTCACCCTTTAGGCTCACAGAGCATCATGGGAGTTGAAATTTTACAACAGCTACCTCTTTGACCTAGTAATAAATGCAGGGTTATTACTTAGCTGTCAATTGTGAGGAAGTGAATGTAAAATTAAACTGATTTTCTTATTTTACGCTAAATTAGCCAAACTGAAAACAATTCCTTTTTTTTTCCTAGTTTAGTTTTTATAGCCTAAAATATGAAATTTACTGTAAGTTGCTGACAATTGAAAAGTCTAACATGAATAAAATTATAGAAAAAACTATTTTAAAATCATTTGGGGAAAAAGCCGGTTTCGGTTTCTGGACAAGGGCATCCTGAATTTTCAGTTTCGGTCCAGAATTTCATTTCGGTGCATCCCTAGTCCCAACTGTCCTGATTTGGCCAGGCAGTCCCTATTTTAGGGTCCTTTGCCACTATCCTGATTTTGTCCTGTCCTCAAGCAGCACACCGCAAGTGTATCATTATACACGCTTGTGCAGAAGACACTAAAAACATACAAAACATTTCAACAACTGTCTCTACAAGATCTTGTGTTGGGCCCAGTGAAAGATGCATCTGACTCATGTCTGGACTAAGTGGTCCTTTAATAAGAACTCAGATTCTCAAGAGATAAAATAAAATAAAAATGTATATATAAAAGATATAATAAGCAAGATGGAGGGCAAGCATAGTTTCAAAGACTGCGTTTACGCACCTAAAGACCATTAGTAGCACCTTGTTGTGTTAACGTTACAGCCCACAGAGTGGAAGTTTTCTCAGGATATGGGGAACCACTCCGACCAGCTCTTCCCTAGCTCCATGTCATGGCAACTACAGCATATGCATGTAATTATTCCTGGTTAGTGCACCTCATGATTTCCTAGAGCTAAAAAAGGAATGGGTGGCTGGCCAGTGGTACTTCCATTCTGACACAGAAATTAACCAACAATCAAGCCATCAGTTCGGTATCATGGGCCATGTGCAATCTGCTTAGAAGTGTTCCCAAACAGGGCCAATAATATAAGTGTGGGGGGAGAGGGAGGAGAGTGATAGCAGAGGTGGGATTACATTATTGTTACACCTATGGATCCTACATAATAAAGACACTATTAAGCAGGGGGGAAATAGTTTCGATACAATATGCAAAACAAAATACATAACTGATTTTAAAAAAAAAAAAAAACAGTCATTGCTTCGAAATTATACATTCATTGGTCTCTTAAAAATGTTTCAATTAATTCAATATGAGCTGATGTTTTGCATTGGTGTGAGCAGGGAAAGGGAATTTGCATGCACAATGTGTAAATTACCCAGATCAGTTTACAGATACAAGTTTATGCTGATAACAATTCTGTTTAAAGTCAGCATCATAACCAGGATACATTATTAAACTTTATTTTTTCTTAAAGTTTGATTGCCTGGGAATAAGACAGATCAATGTTCTGTAAACCCTGGCTACGGCTGCAAATAGCATCGAATTCCCAGGAGAGTAACTCCCACTAATCTGGGGCAGGCTGAGACACGCATGTCCCAAAGCTTCACGGTGCTTAGGTATGATGCACTTCACAGTGTCAGTCTCTCCAATCAAAATTATGTCCCACCAGCCTAGAAATTAATTAAGCATCATGGGTAATGTAGTCCTCAAACATCTGTAGTGGTTACATTAGCCAACACCCTTCTAAACCTGATGGCAATGCACCGTGCCCTGCCCTGCTACACAAACAGAATAAAGCTCAAAATGATGGGAATTGTGTGGCCCTTAAATAGATAGCAGTTGCCAAGAGTTTATTTTGCCGTTTGTGCAATTTGATACGTCTATGGTGCAGTCTGCTGGCGCACTGCAAACCATGTGAGGTCACTCTGGTTACAGAAAGGTTTAAAGGACCACTATAGGCACCCAGACCACTTCAGCTTAATGAAGTGGTCTGGGTGCCAGGTCCAGCTAGGTTTATCCCTTTCTGCTGTAAACATAGCAATTTCAGAGGAACTGCTATGTTTACCGATGGGTTAATCCAGCCTCTAGTGGCTGTCTCATTGACAGCCGCTAGAGGCGCTTCCGCGCTTCTCACTGTGATTTTCACAGTGAGAAGACGCCAGCGTCCATAGGAAAGCATTGAGAATGTTTTCCTATGAGACTGGCTGAATGCGCGCGCCTCTCTTGCTGCGCATTTAGCTGATGACGGAAGAAGTGGGAGGAGAGTCCCAGCGCCGAGGGAGCCCGGCGCTGGAAAAAAGGTGAGTGTTTAACCGCCTTCCTCCCCCTTCAGCGCCACGGGACTTTGTTTTCCTGGCACTATAGTGGTCCTTTAAGGAGATCTGCAATAAATAGCAGGCAAATATAATGACCCACAGGACAGGTGGACTTATTAAAAGTAGCTTAAGGCTTCGACCAAAAACACGACCAGCACTTTAGAGTAGGCCCAGAGAATATTAAAGGGGAAAGCCTGCATGCAACTTTACAACACTGGTTTACCCACGGTTAGATGTACATCACTGGCTCCTAGAGATACAATATACCAGCTATAGAACTTGTTTCATTCATTGAGCTGGGAAATGTGTGGAATTGCAGATTGTAAGTTAAAATAACAGGGCTGCAAAATAGCCGAGTTGGAGATTTTTCTAAGTTCTGCATTTTTGCTCGACACGCTGCATGGAGGTGCTGAATGTTCCCCATTTATTGAAATGATCTCTATGAGGAGATGCTGATTGGCGCAGTGTGGTATTTTTGAAGAGCAAGTGCAATATCCTGCCAATGCTTTAGTATGGGAAAGCTTTGGATTGGCTGAGATCATCAAGACTGATGATCTCAGTCATGCAGGATTGGCCAGCCGCGGCTAAGCTGGTGCAGCATGGAATAAAGGTGACTTCAAAACAGGGATGCTGAGAACCTAAATAGTGAGTTTAACACTATAGTGTCAGGAATACATGTTTTTGTTCATGACACTATAGTGTTCCAGGAAAAACACATTTTGTAAAAAGGTTGTTCTAGTACCCCTTTAAAGAACACATGTGGACACCCTACCTATTCTATGAGCCTGTTGTGTTGCATTTCCAATTTCCAAATTATTTTGTTTTAGATCATGCTGCCTACCCGCTGATCAATCATTTTAATATTTAATGCGCATTATATTAACCTTTTTTCTAATACCAAATGCGTAGTGTGGCTGAATAGGTTAGCGATCATGAATAAATAATGGATCTTGGCTTCTATAGCTTGTTGGCAGTGACACAATACCTTCTTATTGCATTGTTTAAAATATTAAATAATATTTAAATTCTTATTTTTGTTTCCCACTCGTGCTGCCTCCTACGTTCCATATCTCACTAAAAAAGAATTAGAGAGAGCCCCAAACATGGAATATTAAATCAATATTAAGTTTGTAGCGGATGGCACTGGGCTGTCCTAAGAAATTACATGTATTTGAATGCATTCGTGTGAAGTAACTAAGTTCTATGTGTTAAATATATTGTATTCGTCTGAATGTTAGGTAGTTTCATTCCCTTAGTTTGTTCGAATGAAACTACCGAACAGTCAGACCTCCCCTGTGTGAAGTGTGCCTTCAATTACCCGTTGCAACATTGTTGCAAACGGGTAATTGACAAGCTAAGTAGCCGTCCTTTGTTCTCGGGGGTGGCCGCCATTCGAAAAACGAACACGTGGCGGCGGCCATTTTAAAACTCCCGAACAGCGGTGTTTTGCCGTCGAGTGTCTGGAACTCAAATCGGACACTCGACTAGGCGAACACCGCTGAAACCTCCACAAGCCCGGTCCGTTCGGTTCCAAACTACCGAACGGCCCCTCGTTCGGTAAATAGAAAGAACCGAACGAGGGGATTCAGGCGAACCCTCCCTAGTCTCTGTAGCTAGAGGCTTTCGTGCCGTTTAATCCCTGACTCCAGGACCGACCGCAGGGCCCATTCGCATGGAACCTCATTCGGCTGTTATATCCAGTGCGGTCGGTCATTTTATTCCCTCCATGAATTTCCCGAACCCCTGGTCTGATCTGGGTGATTTTTGGATATGTTGTTCACCCAGATCAGAGCTACCAGGGGATGTATAATTTAAAGTGGTACCCCTAAGTTTAGGGGTACATCCAGAAACGGGGGGGGGAATTGGTGTGCTGGATAAGGGGATTATGATGCAGGCTGAGGGGAGGGGATGTGTGGGAGGTTACCAGAGCAGGATTGGCTACTGTACTAATGAAGGAAAATCCCTCCCTTGCATGGGAGCAGGCTTTAAAGGGCCACTGTCTGAATAAAGCTTTAGTTCTGCTCCTGAAACTGTGTGTCGTCCAGTTATTGGGATTGCTGTTGGGATACTGCTGTGGTATTTTGCCTGCTGGATACTTTACCCTATGGATTTATAATTGCTTGTTCCTGAACCTCCCTGGGATCCAAAGTGGAGATAGGCTGTGTAATACCAGCTCTCCGGTACAAAGTTCTTTAAAGGGGCATTGAAACTTCCAATTGGGTTTGCTATTCTCCTCGCTCGATTATTCACTGAAGTGGGAAGCGTGTTTCAAATTAGAAGCCTAAGTAACAGACCTGGGAGCTGATTTGGAGAATGTTTCCACAATTTACACTTTAAATTCCTGACAGTTCTCACTTTAGTGAACAAGCCTGTATGTTTAAAGGGACACTATATAGTCACTAAAAACACATTTAGCTTATTGATATTAATAGCCATTTCGGAGTTAAATTACTTTTGTTTCTGTCCATGCAGCACTAGCCACACCTCCCCTGGCTGTGACTGACACAGTCGGCATAAAAAAGAAAAAAAACTAGTTTCATTTTCAGTCAGATGCAAACTTACTTTAGATTTTTGTATCTCCTGCTCTGTAAATTGACTTTTAACCTCACACAGGAAGCTCCTGCAAGGCCTAGCAGGCTATTAATTGTGCAGGAGATAAGAATTTCTAAATGAAACAAACTGTGCAATGAAGGAAGTGTAAACATGAAATCTCTCCTTACAGGAAGTCTGTGTAAGTAACATGTAGAGAGGTGTGACTAGGGCTATTTAAACAAAGTGATATCACTTTTGAATTGCAGAGAATTGAGCAGTGAGACTGCAGGGCCATGGTCTATACACCAAAACTAATTCATCAAGATAAAGTTGTTTTAGTGACTACAGTATCCCTTTAACAAGTTTGGGTTTGTGAGACATGCAAAGTAAAAATTCATAACCCTTCATTCTTCAATTAAATACCTTCATCTTGACTCAACAGTCTTTGTTACACACTCTGTTCACCTGACAGCATACAGACAAAATACAGAGCAGAGGAGAAATTAAATAATGCTTCTATTTTGACTCTTCATTTGCAATGTGTGCATTGGCTGTGTTTGGACTGAACAGGCATTAGATGTCATGTGCAACATTTTTAGACATACATTTCAAAGAAAACAAAACATCATATGACGCATTTCAATATTTTGTTCAATAATGTAATTACCAGAGAAGTAACTGTTTAACTTCATGCTACATGCAGTCAAAGAAAGAGAAATCTATCTTTAAGTGTAACAAAATATCTAGAAATGCAGTGGTGTAGTGTGGAGGGGGCGAACCGCCCCGGGCGGCGCCTTTTTGGGAGTGGCATGCACAATCTCACTTGACTTGGCCGGGAAATTTCACAGTGGGCTGCAGCACATGGGGGCGGGCCAGGCCGTGCAGCCACTGGATGGCGATGTTGCTTTAAGGTAATCAGCCCTTTAATACTGCACCGGACTGAGCCACTGTTCCACCACGACCAGCTGAGAAGAAGTGGGTTCAGATCACTTCCTCCCAGTAAACAGGGCGCAGCGTGGAGAGGAGACGGATTAACCAATACGGAGGAGGAGGACAGAGGGACACCTGTGTCTCAGATTTCCATCAGCCTAGGAAAGCCAACTCCCACTGTACCCCAGGGAAGCCATGCTTCTGTACCCAAAAAGTAAGGAAACAGAAGGGTGGCTAAAATATGTAAATTGTTATTTTTATAAATGGGTGTATGTGTACCCGGGTCTGTGTGTATATCAGTGTGTACATAAGTGTGTGTGTGTGTGTAACTGTGTATCAGTGTTATTCTGAGTGTGTGCATATGTATGTATCTGTGTGTGGCAAAGTATATATCCCAGCATTCCAACGCTAACACAGCACACAAATACACCCCTGCATTCCAACTCAATACAAATACATATGCCTCAGGCTGTGTGAAGAGGATGGTGATATGAGTCACGTCATATCCCTGCTCCCTGTATTCCCCAGGGCTGGGGTGACCTTAGTGATGAGGCCAGGCTGAGAGGAGTGGCAAACTTAGGGAGCGCCCCAGCGACAATACCGCTAGCTACGCTACTGTATAAATGTACTGTGTATGTCTAGTATATATGTAAATGGTACAAATGAACCATTTCATAGATTAAAATAAAAAATAAAGTAAAATAATAAATATATAAAAATCAGTCCATAATACCAATTCAGGAGCATATTTATTTCTTACATGGTTTCAGGAAAAAAATGGTTTATTCTATAAAATTGCTGGGGAAAAAAAAAAAGGTTTAAAATAATCTGGGATTTGATATTGGAGTGTTTCTGTATAGAAAGGAACTCATTGACAATGTATTTTGGTAAACGGAAAACCAAAAATAAATTTAGGACAAAATAAAAAAATTAAGCTTTCTCTGATTTAGCTACTACCGTGGCTGTTTTAGATTTGTTCTAGCAATATGTTTTTTGATTCACTGTTTAATGAACAAACCTCATAATGAATTTAGAACTGCAATAGTGAACATTTGCACCCCAAAATTTGTTGGCCACACCAGTGCGAGAAACGTAGTTTACAAATATATGTAGTTCTAAGTTCATCACTTACCGTAAAGGGTTAATCCAAGCACCACGATCAGTTTAGTGATTTGTAGTGGTCATGGTGCCTAGAGTTTATATATGCAGCGTTTCGCTATGAAAAGCTCTACATACTGGATTTAACCCCTTTGCTCACGGTGTTGTGATTTCACCCCCAGCAATGTTATTCGTCAACCTGGAACAAGAGTTCCGAGATGGATATTGTTAATTCTGTGCATATTTCTATGACACCCTCAGAGTAAATTAGAGCGTCAGGGTCGGCATCAGCACCAATTATGGGACCTTCCAGGACTGGCGGGACAACATAAATTAAGAGAGCAAACCATTGTAAAAGCAGTTTGCCCCATTATCGGAGAACAGCATAAGAGTATTCCTCACATCATAATCGCTACAGCGTTCTGCAGTAGTAATGATGGTTTGAGCAACCCTTTCAGAATTTTGCAAACACTCACCTAGTACAAAACTCAAAGCCATTAATCAAACAAGCAGGCCTTATTAAAAAGTGTCAGTTCTGCAGTTGAACTAGTTGCAGAATGAATCCAATTATAACGCAGTTTCCTGGTAGAAGAAAAAACTGAAAAGGGGGGCAACATGGGAGAATTATGATGTCCCACTTCTGCTAAAAATAACCCTGAAAAAAAAAAAAACATATATACAGTAATGTATTTCTCGTACATTGTAAGCTAGTTTAAACAAGGCCTGCTTCACCTCGTCTCTCGTTATATTTTCATTCCAGTTACTTATCAAATATCCCCATTCTATAATTGTAAAGCACAGCGGAATAAAAATAATAATTGTATATCACAAGGCGTGAGTAGCAATAGGGAACTTTAGTCACACGCAGCGAATTTCAGCCCCATCACCCTCAGACAGCCATCTAATCTGGCTGCAGATAAACAAAGCTGCTCTCCACAGGAGTTTTGTTTACAAATAGCAGCCCAAGTGGTTTATTCACTAAAACAAGGAAATATAGATTAACATTAAAATTGTCATTGCAGAATTTAAAGGACCACTATAGTGCCAGGAAAACACTCGCCGGGCTGGATGGAGAGGAAAGGGTTAAAACTTACCTTTTTTCCAGCGCCGGGCGGGGAGCTCTCCTCCTCCTCGCCTCCTCTCCGGCTGAATGCGCATGCGTGGTAGGAGCTGCGCGCGCGTGCATTCAGCAAGTCTCATAGGAAAGCATTCATAATGCTTTCCTATGGACGCTGGTGTCTTCTCACTGTGATTTTCACAGTGAGAAGCACGCAAACTCCTCTAGCGACTGTCAATGAGACAGCCGCTAGAGGCTTTAGAGGCTGGATTAACCCATTTATAAACATAGCAGTTTCTCTGAAACTGCTATGTTTATAGAAGAAAGGGTTAATCCTAGCTGGACCAGGCACCCAGACCACTTTATTACGATGAAGTGGTCTGGGTGCCTAGAGTGGTCCTTTAAGGCCAAAACAGACGAAATGGAAAAATAGCCGAGTTTGGAGGATGTTTTGACAAAAATTTGCCATTCCACGTTCAATAATCCACAATTTTCAGTTTACTAAATAAAAGCCGTGAAGATTGCAAGCCTGTTATAATAATCCGCTTTTAACCTAAATGTATGTAAATTGCAACCCTTCCACACAATGAAACAAAAATACAACAGAACCTAAAATCACATAGAATTAGCATTTGATAAATTAATTTCCTCTCAATCACTGACAGCAGGCTATCTCCAAGCTGACAGATGCAAATGCTGTGGGTGACTAGCCCACAGGCCTATAGAAACTGAAGCCGATATGGAAAGTAAAATTCTGCACCAGGGTTGACAAAAAGCCAGAACTCCAGTTGTTGTAGGACTACAACTCCCATGATGCTTTGCAATCGAATCCATCAATACACACAGAGTGTTACTGTATCATTATCAGAGCTCAGGATTCCATCCCGAGATTTCCCCTTTCCTCCCAAGGTCCCACCTCCTTGGATTGAGGGAGATTAGCAGAGAGATGATCCATTACCCACACATTAAGCAGCATTTTCCCACCATGCATGCACCCAGAGGCCAGATCAAAGCATCCATGCCTTACCTCCTTGTTATATTGTGTCAGTGTCTTCTGAACCAGTTCCTGTTCCCCTGTCTCCAGCTTGCCCAGGATGGTGTCCAGGTCCATGGCTGGCAGGCAGAGGGGTGCTCTGTGTGTGAGTATGGGTGCTGGGTGACTGCCCTGTGTTTTGGAGGAAGTGGACCTGGCGGTTGGCTGCTGTTCTTCCTTCTGTTCACTGATACAATGACATCAGTTTAGGAGGAGGAGCTGAGCTCAGGACTTGGTTTACAATCACACTGATGGCTCAAGGGCTGAGTGAGAGGCATCACATCTCTGGCAACGTGTCTGCTTGGATCAGGAGCAGATCATGGGGCTCTTACCAAATCCTGGATACTGTGTCTAATCACTGCCTGCAACTGCTGGCCCGCAGTATATCTCTGTACTGAGCTGGGGGATCAATGATTGAAACATCAACCCCGCATTCTGCTTCATAGTATGCATATTGCAAATATTACTATATTTTAGTGTAAATCATGAGTATATTATACTTTTAATAACCAACCCCCCCATTTATATTTTTTATATATATATATAATAGGGAATAATGTATTGATCACTTCTGTGCAGTCTTGGGGGCCTGGTCTCAGCATAACTATATGGGTGTTCTAGTCTGCCTGAGATTAGTGGGAGTTACACTGCCATGTAGCACCTGCCATCATTTAAATAATGTAAATGACATTTTTATCTGTAGAAATTATTAGTAATTCAACTAATATTTCTTGGAACAGAAATTTGCAATACCGCTAAAAACAAAGTGTCTCTTTATTTAAAATGCTGGGAGGTCTGGCAGGGGAAATTAATGTCCCATTGCTACCTTTACACTAATTACCACTCCTGTATCCCTACATCCCCTTAACGCACCACACTACACGTTAACCCCTATTCTACACTAACAACAGACCACACTACACATTAACCCCTACTTTACACATTAACCCCTACTTTACACTAACTACAAACTACACGTTAACCCGTACGCTACACTAACAACAGAACACAACTACATATTAATCCCTACTCTACACTAACTACAAACTACACTACACGTTAATCCCTACTCTACACTAACTACAAACTACACTACACGTTAACCCGTACTCTACACTAACTACACTACACGTTAACCCCTACTCTACACTAACAGACCACACTACACATTAACCCCTACTTTACACTAACTACACACTACACGTTAACCTGTATTCTACACTAACAACAGAACACAACTACATATTAATCCCTACTCTACACTAACTACAAACTACACTACACGTTAATCCGTACTCTACGCTAACTACAAACTACACTACACATTAATCCCTACTCTACACTAACTACAAACTACACTACACGTTAATCCGTACTCTACGCTAACTACAAACTACACTACACGTTAATCCCTACTCTACACTAACTACAAACTACACTACACGTTAATCCGTACTCTACACTAACAGACCACACAACACATTAACCCGTACTCTGCACTTATAACAGACCACACTACACATTAACCTGTACGCTACATTAACAACAGACAACAGTACATGTTAACCCGTACTCTACACTAACAACAGAACACAACTATATATTAACCCCTACTCAACACTAACTATATACTACACTACACGTTAACCCCTACTCTATACTAACAGAATACACTGCCCATTAACCCCTACTCTATACTAACAGAATACACTGCCCATTAACCCCCACTTTATACTAACAGAATACACTGCCCATTAACCCCCACTCTATACTAACAGAACACACTGTCCATTGAAGTGGCTCTGTCACAAAAAATATTTTTTTAGCATTTTAAAATCTTCATGAAATGCTCATAAAGACCAAGTTGGAATCTATTTTAAATTCTGTGAAATGTCATTGTCTCACTGATTGCTACATATTGTAAGCTGTGCCACTTTTCGCTGCTTTGCTGATTGCTGGATATTGTAAACGTAGTCACTGTCGAAGAAGCATAGTAATTTGCAGCAAAAAGGTATTCATATGTTTTCCCCCACATCCATGTTTGCATGGTTTTGTGTTGAACAGGGAGTGGTATCTCATTGGGTCAAGTGGGGATTACAAAGCGTTACATGGGCATAGTGAAATGGGTCATAGTTCCAGTAGTGGAGTCCTGCACTCCGCCATCTTAAATCTTCGCCAGCAATAGGTGTTCCAAAACAGTTTAACACCTTACAATTGGTGACATCGGGGAACTCCTAATACCACAATCATTACATTACGCTATAGTGAGAGACATGAGTATAAGTGGGGTGCAAAGAAATATACAATACTGTATACTTAGTATAGTGAGTTGAACACCTCCTGATCTTCCTATAATAGAACCATAAACATATGCATAGTATAATACTGTAACACAAGGTAAAATGATCAATTATGAAGGTATTGCGTCACTCACAATATGCAGAGCCACATAAAGCTGGCTCTGACTTCGAAGGCAGATGAATAATAATCGTATTCTGGCTTTCAGATTCCTAAGCAGGATAGCTCCTTTCCAACCCCTCAATGAATTTCAGGATATCCAATTTGGTGAAAATGAAATAAACTTTACTGGATACAAGTTTAAGTGCTCCATAATAGCTCTCTTTCAGTCCTTGTTATAAAATGTCCCCTTTGCACCTGGCAGTCATCAGAGAAAAAACATAAATAGAAGTGGAGAAATTAAACAATGTTTCTATTTGTCTTCCTCGTTTGCATTGTATGCCTTGAGTGTGCCTGGACTGAACTGGATGTATATATAAAGCTTTATTATAAATTTAACAGGAAACTAAGCATCACATGGAAATAAAGGCTAGCACAAGTTATAGACAATTTTCAATGTTTTAAAGAAATCACAGACTACGTTAAATTGCTTTAAATCCCAACGGAAGCTCCCGTTCCTATCTGGAGTCTATCTTTGCCACTTCCCAGGTAGGTTGCCAGGCCGGACGTGGATCTCAGATGGGAACCTTCCTGGTAAAATCAGGACAGTTAGGTGCTTTGCAACCCTCTGACATTCTACAGGTTAGATGTATTGACACCTGCACATAGTATAAATGTAAATAAAAGAAAAGGTGAGCTGAGAATACGTAATGGCCGTGTGTAGCACTTGTCTTCACGTGAGAAATGGTATTATTGGCCTTATTTTTTTCTTTTCCTTTGAAAAAAGGAAATTCCTTAAGCATTCTGGTAGCAGCACATTGCTTGCTGTATTGGTCGGTGCAGCTGGCCCTGTTCCCAGGGCAACACTCTGTTGCCATAGCAACAGAACAGCTGGAAATAGTTTCTCAAAAGATGAGAACGCGATGTCTGACACTACAGGAGGCAGCAAGTTCACAGAGTCCCTGGGACCGAGGTAGAGGAACATGTTAATAGTCTGCACATACGTCTTATGTACATAATTGTGTTTGGAAAAGCCTGTTTGCAATGAGGGGATTGCCTGGTAAGATGTATTGTGCTTAAATCAGGTGTAGGGCAGGAACTGGATTTGCGTATCTTGTACTTTGTGACACAACAGGTTGTACACCAAGCCTTAAAGGGACATTAAAGCCACCAGAATCACTACATCGTAATGTAATGGTTCAGGTGAGTATAGTTAGTCCTTGCAGTCTTAGCACTGTAAACATAGCCTTTTCAGAGAAAAGGAGGTGTTTACATTGCTGCCTAGTAACACCTCTCTTGGCAGTCACTCAGATGGCAACTCAAAGGGCTTCCTGTGACAGTGCTGCAAAGTGTGTAGCACTGGCATTCAACGTCTCCACGCTCTGCATGGAGAAGCTGAATGTTCCCCATTTATTCAATGCATCTCTATGAGTATATGCTGACTGGCTGAGTCTGGCGTTTTTCCGTGCATGCACAATAGCTTCCCAATACTTTCCTCATCCAAACTGATTATCTCAGCCATGGAAGCGAATCCGACGTGGCGTGGGAAGAAAGGTAAGTAAAAGCACCTTTCCCTTGCAATCAGAGGGGGGCTGGGACCTAAATCGTTAGTTTAACACTATAGTGTCGGGAACACATGTTTGTATTCCTGACACTATCGTGTTCCTCTAAAGGAAAATCATATAGATATCCAGAGATCAGAAAGGTTAAAAAAATTAAGTTTTAATTCTGCTTTTTAAAATGGCAAAACATGGCAAATAGGTTTACCATAAGGCAACCTAAAACAGTAGTTTAGGGACCAGTAGTTACTCAGGGACCTGGGCACCAAGAATATAGATGGCTGGGTGAAGGTGTGGAAACTGCTAATCTTACTAGGGCCTTGTGGGATCTAAATCCTTCTCTGCATGGTATGGCAAAAAGGTTGGATTAAACGCATGCACAGGATTTGGAACTTCAACATTTTGCTGCACTGCTCCCAGGATGTTTTCAGTGAGTGGCTAGTGGATGTGCTCAGGGTGTAACAGTTATTATTATTTACCTACTTGTTTTTTTAGGTGGTTATTTATTATTTAGCTATTTTTGTTGTGCAATAAGGCTTAGTGTAATATGGTAATTGGTAATTACTAGTGGAATTAAAAGAGCAGGTCTGGGACTCCCCACTTATATATCAAACTATATATATATAGAACTGTATATTACAAATTTATAACAACTTCTGCTGAGAAGACTGGATGAGGCGGGTATGGCATGTACACCCAAAGTGATCCAGGTAAGTCCCAAAAGTGGGACACCAGTGAACAAACTCAAGATGACGTGACTGTCTAGCCGATATCAGGACGAATGGCAGGTCAATATAAATAGGAAACAATTATTTAAAAAAAAAAAAAAAAGAGTGGTCGAGAAACAAAATATTTTCCCAGCAGAAGTTATCTAAATGAACTTAAAGGCATATTATAGTCACTAAAATAACTTTAGTTTAATGATGCAGTTTTTGTGTATAGATTATACATATGAAGTTTCACTGCTCAATTCTCTGCAATCTAGGAGTTAAATCACTTTTGTTTTTGCTCTCCTGGCTGTGGCTGACACAGCCTGCATGAAAACAAAATGGTTCCATTTTCAATCAGGTGTAACTCACTTTACACGTTTGCATCTCCTGCTCTGTAGATTGAACTTTAATAACACGCAGGTGGCTCCTGCATGGTATTGCAAGCTTTTAACAGAGCAGAAGATAAGACATTCTAAATTAAACAGAATTTGCAATAGAGGAAGAGTAAACATTATATGACTCTTTACAGGAAGTGTTTCGGAAGGCTGTATAAGTCATATGCAGGGAGGTGTGACTAGGGCTGCATAAACAAATGATTTAACTCCTAAATGGCAGAGAATTGAGCAAGGAGACTGCAGGGGCATGATCTATACACCACAACTGCTTCATTAAGCTGAAGTTGTTTTGGTGGCTATAGTGTCCCATTAATAGAGCAGCATATCTCCGAACTCTATCATCCTGCGCGCAGTGATGCAATCGCATTATTAGCTCTGCTCCCATAGAGACGGACACGCCCGAGTGAATGGAAGGTTAGCCTGGCGGGAATGCGCGCCAAACGGTCTGTCCATCATGCAGGCCGGCACACTGAGCGCAGACTCTGCAGGGAACACAGTTTCAGTTTTCCCTGCAGGGTCCTAGTGCAAGTACGTCTATTGATGTACTCGTGATATGAATGTTGGGGACAGTTCCATGGTGGTCCCTATAGAATATTACATATTCTGTGTTCCTATTTATATTCATAATAGTATGGATGTCTAATGGGGTAAAAATAAAAAACGATAATTTGCTACGCTGTACCATGAGAAGTCTGAAATGTTGGTGTATAATGAGAGGATTAAGGGTCTTTACACACTTCCTTGTATGGCGAGAGTTTTATTTAAAAATTCTGACATCATTATAGTCATGTCTATGAAAGTACAGTAGACAAAGGAACACCTGCCACTATTACTTGTTCCACGGACTTTCTGGACAAAGACGATTACTCTCCATTGAAGCTCTCTCTCTGTAACATCAGTTAATCTGTACCATCTGTTGAGATTTTATGTATTTCTGTTTGCATTGGGAGTACAATAAATGTGTATTTAAAAAAAAAATATCAGATTTTTGAGTGATATAGATATATATTACAGCGAGTCATTAATACAAGAAGATATATACATAAAAATATGTATTCCAATCACCCTTAACATATATACTTATGACATCCCCAAAAGCAGGAGATCAAGGAACCTAGGCAGGACAGGATTAGAAAAATCAGGACTGTCCCGGCAAATTTAGGAGGGTTGGGAGGTATGTAGGTGTGTTGGAGAAAACAGATGATTTAAGATAGATTGCACACAGATAAGAGGGGGATTGGTTACCTATCTGCTGTCAAACTCTGTGTTCCAGAAATAAAAGAAAAATTGCATGCTCCTTGTTTAGAATCATACCTTTTATTTAAACATTGAAATGCACAACTTGAGAAAAAGCTACTTTTGATTTTGTATTTGTATGCGCTGTCCAATTTATGGGTTTATTGAAAACCAATTTATTAAAAAAAAAAATTATAAAACATGTATAACAGCTAAGATGTGACTATAGTAGAGTATGAACATTTTTGTAAATCAGGTTTGATATTAAATGCCATAGAGTTATTCACTAGTACAAATCCAAAGTGAATTTCAAATTTAAGACCAAAGTAGCTGAACTGAGAACATATCTGACTTAATTAAATTTACTTTTTAAATTGAATTTGAAATTCACTTTGAATTCACACTTCAGTGAATAACCCTGGGTTGCTTGCTGATCTCAGAACACCAGGATGTGCAATCATTATATAGATTTCGTATTACAACAGAAGATGTAAATTAAACCGTGTGATTTACACAAAAAAAAAAAAACAATAATGATGACTGGACAAAAATATTGCAAAATGCCAAAATAGCCGACCTTGAAAATGATCTCCTACTCAGCTATTTTTTCAGCCTAAAACGTGCGGTTAACTCTCGATTCTTCACAAATTCTCAGTAAAGTAAATAAACACTTGAAAACAGTTTTTGGTTGGTTTTTTATCTTGATTTTATTTATTTAATTTATGTTCCTGTATTGATTGTGATGTAGATGATTTGATGAAAAAAAAGTAGAATGCTTTCTTTTGCTCATATTAATTTTCTTCCGTCTTATTCAATAATCTGCTTCATCTAGTAATCCTACAAAAGAGAAAATAAGTAATTATATATATATATATATATACACACACACACACACATTTATTCATTTAATTTTTTTTACATTTTATTTAATTATTTTCTTATTATTATTATTAGTAGATGTATGCAAGAGAATTTTTTACATACAGCACATAGCCAACATGCCACAGGGATATCATGCAAATCCCCAATCCCCACCGCCTCTCCCTCCCTATAAATTCCATTTGCACTGTAAACCATGAACCTCTAGTGTAGAGTATTACACAGGCTGCAGAAGGCACGTGTTAGATCCGTGAGGGGGGAGGAGGGGGACATAGCTGCCTCCCAGATTAACGTCTTATTACATTATCTGCTTCCCGGACGTACTTGTTATTCACAATAATCTTATTATTTGCTGTGTAGTAGGGGTATTTTTCCATTACCACAAAATATGCACGCCTCTATTCAAGGACAGTAATATTTTTATTTAATTTGTTCTCTGACGTATTGCTGTGATCCTGGTCAGGGCTGTTACCTGCCCGCGATTCCAGAGGTATTGTTATTTAGATTGCCAGCGAGTGGATTCTGTAATTTAGCAAGAACCCAACAAGAGACTGAAGATGAATAGCTACAGCTAATGTGTTGCTTTTGCTAATTGATAGGAATGCAGGTGCAGCCTAGCAGAAGTATAATTAGCAGGAACCAATTCAGATTTCCAAGGAGACTGCTTAGTTCTACGAGCCGATTTCAAACCTGCCCAACTAGTCTCCGTCTATGGCATGGAAGCACAAGCTGAAATTTCTATTGAGAATAATTGATTTTTAAGGAAAACTCCAAGCACCATAACCACTACAGCCTGCTAGAGGTTGTGGTGCTTGGAGTGCCCTAGCGCCCTCCCAGTATGTAGTCAAACCATTTAAGAACAGTTTGACAACTTAGATTTGTCCCAACTGCCCTACTTCCCAATTCCCCTAAGAGCATGCCTTCAAAGCATCCCGATTTTGGAAGGAATAGTCCCAATTTTCGGTCCTGTCCTGCAGTCCAGGGAACTGTTCCCAACAGTCATAGCACAACCGTATCATAGCTCACACTTTTTTAATTGTGCTTGGTCTCTGCTGTTATTGAGCCAGCTTAAATGATGGACAGGCAGTGTGGCATCTCTTGCTTGGCCCCTTTAGCCCAGGTCAGTCAGAGGGTGCTATAGCACTCTTGGCACCATAACCACTTCCATTACACTAAATATGCAAAAAATAAAAACTGTAATGGCAACATCTATTCCCTGCTGAGCCTCATGCCATCCCCTTCTCAATTCTTCCTCCTGCTGAGCATCCATCTGCTTAGCTTTCTGACCTATTGCAGAGCCTTGTTCTGGTCCCCAAACCCATGCAGACTTTTCTGGTGCCTTCTGAACCCATTCGACCCTTTGTGCTGAGCCCTGTACCTGTGCAGATCTATGGACTTTCAAAAATGCTATTTATAGCTTTTAACATACTGCAAAAAAAAAAAGGAATATAATCTTGGTGTTTGTAAAATATCCCTTTCATCTTGTTTTGTTCCTTTTTTTTTTTTGTATGTAAGATACAATGTTACGGATAAAATAACTTCATTAAATAGTCCAGATCTCAGCTGCCATGAAAAAAGGGAGAAATATGCAACTAACAGTCTATTTTGGTGGCTTCAGTCATTGCAATGTTCTGCTAGACAATTCTGGCAAGCCTTGCCTTTTAATTGACTTGGATAGAGAGAGTAGATTTGCTGTCTCAGCTTTCAGGAGCAAATTAGTTCTATCAAAAAGTGCTAAAACGCCTCAAGACATGATGTAGACAATTATTCCCAATGTCATTCTAATTACGCTTTTATCGTTACAGCAGCCTAATGCTGGGTTATGGAGCTACCTGCCTTCAAAATACTTGGAGTGTAACTCCCATGACTAAGCCAAGCAAAAGCCTCACTTAATGTCGCTTTATATCAAGTGTGCCCAAAAGGTAAATCCTCAGATGTTCTAAAACTGCAACTAACATGGTGCTTTGTCACTCTAAAGCATTCCAAAGGCATGCAAAGCATCATGGGAGTTGTAGTTCAACTAAATCTGGGGATCTACCTTTTGGGGACACCTGCTTTAAATGTACTGCATGGCATTCATTGCTATTCCCTACCATTACAGCACCAGCGTTACAATATTCTCCTTTATAAATAACAGTATAACACCACCCTACTTTGAATGTGGCAACTTTAAAGTACCCTCTGTAATGATGCTAGATTTTTTTTCGTTTTTAAAGTTAACATTTTAAATTTCTATATTACACTGATTACTCACTGTTTAGCAGAGATGCTCATCCCTCACAGGTTGCAAACTGGCCATCATTTACATTATGGCAAAAGGAAGAGTTAAACGTTGCCTCATCCAATACCAGGGCTAGCTGGCAGTGATAGGCTGAGACATTCACTGCCCCAATCCCTGGTATGAATTGGTATGGCATTAGTTGTGGCATACTTATTCCTTTGTCACCTTGTAGATTGATGATTAGTAAACCATTTAACAATGATATGGAACCCGGTACCTGCAGACTCCAGTCACCATAACCACTTCAATTAATTTAAGTGGTTATGGTGCCTAAAGTGTCCCTTTAATGTAGCATAGAACTTAACAACCAAGAATGGGGGAAGGGAGAGGTTGGACGTTGTTTTTCATAATTTCTACTTAATCAAATATTAATGGACAAGCATAATTAGCACGCCAGAGAATTCTTATGATATGTATTCCACAATCAGCATTTTGTGGTGAATCGGCAACCTCCCAGAGGGAGAGGAGAAACATATTCTCAGGGTGAGTGGACAGATTACTGGGACCACACAAAACAAACCCAGCACTATATTTACACGAATTGCGTGGACCTTGTAATTGATTATTTTGCTTGCTTCTGTAATTGTTTAAACTGTATGAACATAGAGATGAAAGGGAATTTTTAATTCTGACAAATTAGACTTGTATATGAGAGGTTACAGGTGTGACGGTTTATTAGAATGATTTACCTGAGTAATACGTGTTTGCTGGGACTGATAATTTGCCCTTCTAAGCAGATAGAGGAACGCAGAGCACAGCCGATCATCTGTTACATCCTGTTCCTCCAGCCCCTTAACGTCTGACCTAATAAGACGAATCAAACATGCAGTTAAAAATATTGCTTCATAATTAATGCATTAGTGAATTACGCACCCAGGGTGCATTAGTTACATTTTCCCTTTCCATTTTTTAGAATGTACTTAGCTGATTTCTGTTAATAACATGGAAAAATACACGTACAGGACTATTTCCTACAGTAAGAATTCAAGGTGACTTGAAAGTGAATTTCAAATGTAAGGTCAAAATAATCGCATTGGAAAAATTCTACAAGTAAGCTATTCTCTCAGTGTGGCTACTCTGGCCTTAAATCTGAAATGAATTTTAAATTCTCGCTTACGTAAATAACCCAGAATGTCAATGCATCTAGAAAACAGCACAGCATTGTAATATAATGAAAATAATACTGAGATAGAGAAATACATACAAACATATACATATATATATATATATATATATATATATATATATATATATATATATATATAAAAAGAGTATTTCATGAATAAATAAAATGCGTCATTTTGGTATCACAAAACTACTCTACCAGTTCTGTCTGTTGATTGAGCTATCTGTCTGTCTGTCTATCTACCCAGAGCACAAAGATTACAAATACCACTTATATGTGTTTATTAAAAACAGACAAAATATAGTTCTTCCTTTTTAAGGTGTAATGTGCTTAAATAATAGTAGATTAATTAAATAGTCGTACAAGAAAGGAGTAGCAACAAGTAAAATTACAGTCTGTTGTGCTGAGAAGATTCATTTTCCTAGGGAGAGGCACTTTGCAATTTAAAATGTAACCATTTAATAAACAGTAGAGTGTAGTTCCACTTTAAAGACCAAGTGGATTCTGGGTAGGTCATTAATAACAAAAATGGCAGAAATAGAATGACAGTGATTTCTAGTCCCAATTCTCCTTTCTCATTCTTTTCTTCCAGAAATTCATGAATAAACCTATTTAACATTTAGTAAAAGATACTCTTACTCTTGTTTTGATGTGTCATTTGAAAGTTTGTTTACCTTAGCTCTGGAAGACTGTAAGCATTCATGCCGGCCAATTCTTTCTCTTGATAATTTGTTTCCGGAACAGAATTCATCAAATTCTCTGTTCTAAGGGCATCAGATCTCTCATCTGAGACATCCCTAGTAAATTAATAAAGATTTAATTTTATTTTTGTTTTTTCTTTCTGAAATTTTTTTTAATCGGCATCAGTTGCAAGATATGCTGAAACAAAACTACAGAGTTTTTCAGAACTTTATGTGTAAGGCCTGAATTTGTAGGGGATGCACTTGCTGACTATTTCCATTCATTATTTTTAATGAATTAAATACTAGTCTGCAGAGAAAGCATGATTACTGATAACCCAGCCAGTTTCCACATAAAGTTGAAATGAAGAGAAGACCGATCAGATACAAGAGGGAAAGAACAAAAAGAATAGATTTTGAAAAAATATATATTTATTTCCCTAAAAACTAGAGATTTTTTATGCATTTTCTTTAGAATTTCTAGAAGATATGTTAAATTCGCCACTACAGGCTCTAAACAAAAGATACATAATTAAACCATATGACTAGGAAAACGATGCTGAGACAATGGGTACACATGCGTTTTGTGTTCTTTTCCTGAATGCCACCGGGTTTCAGTAGTCCATGTACTGGTGCAAACAGGATAGAGGTATAAGCTAGGAATGTTACGTTACATTTGATATAATATATTTCACTTTTTTTAAAGTGAACCACTGCTTTTTTTGTTGTTGTTTTACATAGTAGGCGTACTTTAAGCATTTATTCCTGAAGAATGACAAAGGCCAGCTGAGCTCCCGGGGAAATTCCGTCACATAGTGTAGTGACATTTGTTTTGCCGTGAGTGGCTAATTTAAGGGCTCAATCGAGATGGTGCCAATTAAATGCCCATAAACTGTTCTCCTGTTATGGTAGGGCGCTAACATCGGCAAAATGATGTTACCAGTGATTACATATCACCATTACTGGATTATTCACAGTATAGTTAGTTGTCAGGAATTCAAAGCAAATTTAGAATTTTAGGATAAAATTGCTGAATAGGAAAAATCCTTTGTTGGCTATGTTTTTTCAGGGTTATTCAATAAACGCCAAATTTTAGAATGGCAAAACTAAGGTAAAAGTAGCTGAGCTGGAGCAATTGTCCATCTCAGCTACAGTCACAGTTCGGCTATTTTAGCCTGAATTCTGGGATTCTGATTAATTTGCTAATATTCAGTTTTCAGTGTATAGCCTTGCTAGAATTCGTAAATACTCAAATTTTTTGAGAATAACCCTGTATACCAAGCATGTCAAACTCAAAGGCTAACACGGGCCAAATAAACAAGATTTAAGTTTATGTGGGCCGCAAAAAAACGAAAACTTTACTTTTTATAGAAAGGCTGCCTTACAAAAGAGCGAATTTATGTAAGGCAGCATTTAACAAAAAAAGCGAATTTATTTTAAGGAGGCGTGCATTTGCATATAACCAACGATTCAGTCCAACTACCCTGACATATTAAGAAAAGCTTGGTAATGGGACTGAAATGGTGAATGTATGCTGTTGCACAGCTGTAAGAAACAAATTACATTATCTTGTTGATTTTGAAGTCCTATGAGTGTGGTATTCACTTTGGCTGAGATCATCAAACTTGATGATCTCAGCCAATCCAATGCTTTCCCATTGGAAAGCATTGGGAGGCTATTGTGAATGTGTGGCAAAAAGCTGCGCGGCCAATCAGCCTCTCCATGGGGAGAATTCAGCGCCTCCATGCAGACCCAATCTAGTACGCTGCCCCCTCCCCCCATTCTTGTACACTGACCACAAATCCAATACACTGCCCCCTCCCCCATTCTAACACACTGCCCCTCCCCCATTCTTGAACACTGACCACAAATCCAATACACTGCCCCTCCCCCATTTTAATATACTGCCCACAAATCCAATACACTGCCCTCCCTCCACTCTAATACACTGCACCCTCCACGCAATCTAATACACTCCCCCTTAATCTAATACACTGCCCTCCCCCCAATTTAACTCACTGCCCCACTTCCACCACTCTAATACACTGACCCCCTCCCTCCCCCAAATTAATACACTGCCCTCACCCCAATTAAACACAATGCCCTCTCCCACCACAGTAATACACTGGCTGGCTTCCTCCCCCAAATTAATACATTACCCTCCCCCCAATTTAACACACTGCCCCTGCTCCCACCACCTTAATACACTGCCTCCCCCTTCCACCACTCTAATACACTGCCCCACTCCCTCCCCCAATTTCATACGCTGCTCCCTCAAATTAATACACTGCCTCCCCCTTCCACCACTCTAATACACTGCCCCACTCCCTCCCCCAATTTCATACATTGCTCCCTCAAATTAATACACTGCCTCCCCCTTCCACCACTCTAATACACTGCCCCACTCCCTCCCCCAATTTCATACACTGCTCCCTCAAATTAATACACTGCCTCCCCCTTCCACCACTCTAATACACTGCCCCACTCCCTCCCCCAATTTCATACATTGCTCCCTCAAATTAATACACTGCCTCCCCCTTCCACCACTCTAATACACTGCCCCACTCCCTCCCCCAATTTCATACACTGCTCCCTCAAATTAATACACTGCCCCCCTTCCCTCCCCAATTTAGCACACTACACAGGAAGATCACCCAAGCCCCTCTTCCCCTACCTTAAGATGAGCCGCCAGTCTTCCAGTTCCAGCCCTGCTCTTCTCTGCTTAAGCAGACCGGACGCTCCTCTGGCACTGCGAGCAGGAGGGAAGGGGGAGTGGCTGGCCGGCGGGAGCACGTGATTGGCCGTGGGAGGGAAGACAAGAATCAGACAGGAAATATCTTTCTTGTCTTGCAGCCGGTCGCAGCCACAACGCATAGTGGCCCCACGCAAATATATCCATTGTGGGCCGCAAGTTTGACATGCTTGCTGTATACAGTATGTATCATATAAACAATGTAAAAAAAATTACTTTAAAAAATCGAGCACTTACCTCTTCCCTGCCAGAGCAGCATTTATGTACTTGCGTATAGCAGCAGATCCTCTAACTCGGCTGAATTCACTGGTAAACTTGCTGTCAACGTGTCGCTTGTTTCTGCTCAAATATATAAATATTTGAATATATGTCTGATCAGGATGTGGAAATCTGTCTCTGACAGTTTCAAAGTACAATGACTAGATTGGGTGTAGAATGTACAGAATGTACAAATTGATCAGAATTCTAATTCCCAGGAAGAGTTGCAAAAACCTAACTGGGTGATTTACTTACATGAGGATTCAAGGTGAATTCAAAATGGATTTTTAGGTCAAAATAGTCAAAAATTCTCAGTCAGCTGTGCCTTCAGCCTGGCTACTCTGACGTTAAATTTGTAATTAACCTTGAATTCACCTTGAATTCTCAGTTTAGTAAATAACTCTGCAAGACAGGAAAATTTAAGGCAAATATATAGGAACCAAAAAATAATAATTTTAGCTACGCTTCCAGGTCAGCTACTGTGGCCTTCAATTTGAAATTCACTTTGCACAGGGTTATTAAGAAAACTGTGAATTTATTAGGAATTCACCCGATATTATTTTTGCAAATTGTTGGTCAGAATAGTCCGTTTGGAAAGAGTTTTCCCAAGTTGTTTATGGTTTATGTTTCCAGCGAAGCTATTTTGGTCTAAAATCTGCCACACCCTTATGGATTCCTGTTACGGTTTAATAAACAATCCTAAATCTTGGGTCACCATTAACCCCTTAAGGACACATGACGTGTGACATGTCATGATTCCCTTTTATTCCAGAAGTTTGGTCCTTAAGGGGTTAATTTTCACTTCCCCTAAATGAAGGTATTTTTAGACTGGCTTGCGAAGATTGCTATACAAAGCCATGTGATCCTGCGTTTCTTCATATAGGTACTATATTTTTTATAGAAAATACTCTGTTCATGTTGTTATTTTTTTTTTAACTTGATTTTGAAATTGAGAAAATTAACAACAGTTTGACAATTTACCTGGGGGCTGTAGCAGGTGATAGGGCCTCTAGTAATGTGTCTGTGTGTGTGTGTATGGGAGGCACTGAGTGTGTGAGGGATGCAGGGTGGGTATGGGAGGCAGCGTGTGTGAGGGGTGCAGAGTGTGTGTGTATGGGAGGCGAGGGCTGCAGTGTGTGTATGTGGGACAGTGTGTGTATGTGGGTGCAGTGGGAGCACTGTGTGTGTATGGGGCCAGTGTGTGTATGAGGGTGTAGTGGGTGTGTGGGGCTACAGTGTGTATGGGGGAAAAGTGTGTGTATGGGGGTACAGTGGGGTAAGTGTGTATGGGGGTACAGTGGGAGAAGTGTGTGTATGTGGGTGCAGTGTGTGTATGGGGGTACAGTGGGGGAGGTGTGTGTATGGGGGAGAAGTGTGTGTATGTGGGGGGTACAGTGGGGGAAGTGTGTGTATGTGGGTGCAATGTGTGTATGGGGTAGAGTGGGGGAAGTGGGATATGGGGGGGGGGGGCTGGGCTGGGGGCAGGGAGGCAATTGCCCCCCAGGCCGCCCTAAATTGTGTCAGGGCCGGCCGCTGTGGGCCGGCCCTTTAAATGCTGCAGTGTGTGTGTGTGGGTGTGTATGTGGGTGTATACGGTGGGGGAGGTGTGTATGGGTGTGAAGTGTGTATGTGGGTGCAGTGGGGGCAATGTGTATATGGGGGCTGTGGAGGCAGGGGGTACAGTGGCGTAAGTGTGTATGGGGGTGCAGTGTGTGTGTATGGGGGTACAGTGGGGGAGGTGTGTGTATGGGGGAGAAGTGTGTGTATGTGGGGGCAATGTGTGTATGGGTGGTACAGTGGGGGAAGTGTGTGTATGTGGGTGCAGTGGGTGCAATGTGTGTATGGCGTAGAGTGGGGGAAGTGTGATATGGGGGGCTGTGGGGGCAGTGTGTGTGGTGGGGCAGTGTGCATATGGGAGCTCTGAGGGCAGTGTGTATATGGGGGCAGTGTGTATATGGGGGGCTGTGGGTGCAGTGTGTGTGCTCACGAGAGGAAACCCGGCAGAGCTGCAGGCCTAGCTCATGGTCTCCTCTCCTCTCTCCATGCCAGCTACCCAGCAATGTTCCTGCAGACCAGTGAGGGAGATCTCTGATCTCCCCTCCGGTCTGTGAAGGCACTTAGCAGGGCCAGCGCTTGGATAGCACCGGCTCTGCAGGAGAGAGCATCAGCTCTCTGGGGGCAATTGCCCCCTGGATCCACCACTGGTGTGTGTGAGGGGTGCAGAGTGTGTGTGTGTGTGTGTGTGAGGGATGCAGAGTGTGAGTGTAAAGGATGCAGTATGTCTTTTACAGTGTGTAAATGTTGTCCGGCAGGGAGGCCTGTGAGAGAGCTGGAGGCAGGCTGCTGGGAAGGGGCTGAATACAGATCATTTCAAGGAGCAAGGTAGGCAATTGATGTTGGGGCTGGTGTAAACAATTTCTAGGGCTGCTTTTTACTCCCAGTCCGACCCTGAGCAAGGAAATGTATCCCCCCTGCATTGCCAAACTTATGATATCATGATGATATGATATATTTAAGATTTAACTTGGTGTTCAATGGTTTATATTGTACTTATTCCACCTACACATGATCCTATGTATCTACTACTCATTTTATAAAGTATTGCTTCTACATAGCCTCCACTTGATGCTATTCCTTGCGAGAACAAGCTATATCGCTTGACAATGAATCAATGTATCTCACCCATATTTGTGACGGGATGCAGTTTATTATTCTTACCTGGGAGAAATGGGGTCAGAAAAGACCAATTGCAGGAAAACTATGCAAATAAAGACCAATGACCTGAACCCCATTGTTGAAGGCATGATTCTGAGGGGGGAAAGAAATTAACATTATATTAAAATGTGTTTTAGATCAATATGGTTAGATCAACGGTTCAGTCTATTAGAAGTCATATATACTGTGTGTGTGTGTGTGTGTGTGTGTGTGTGTGTGTGTGTGTATATATATATATATATATATATATTATTTTTTAATTTATTTGAATTCATTGTTTAATAAATAAATCTCAGCTATGTAATACATGTTATATCTTACGTTATGTTATGTTATTCACTGAACAGGTTTCAAAATTTAGGTCAAAATAGACATTTTCTACATTATTTTGTCCTAAATTTCTGCAAGTTGACTATGTAATTAAAATGGCATTGCCTCCCTGATTGCTTGACACACTTCCTAATATATACAGTACCTTGGGCCCTATGTCTCTGGTCAAACCAGGGCACTAGGTAACCTCTGACTAGCCTCTCCCGTATAAACTCACTTGTGGCTTCATATCAATTTATAGTGAAATTAAATCAGTACCCACATAACCTTCAATAATGCATCTAATGCTGCAGACTTTTTGTAGTATCGATTGCCCTACAACACAATTTTAATGTAGGACGTTGATGACGTGGGTTGTTTAAAAAAACAAAACAAAAAACAGATTATAAAGCACTTCCCAAAAATAAAATAATATTGAGGTGGTTGACTGAGGCCAGTAGAGGCTGGTGGGACGTTCTTAGCCCTATGTACGGAACCCCGAACCCAGTGAAATCATATTAAAAGTACTTGAAATATATGTAAAAACATCTTAAAGCTGTTGCTTAAACTATAAAACAAATATAAGTGCATTAAAATCAGGTGCAAGATAATATTGGATGAACAAAAACTGTGTATTTCTTTAAATGCCCTGAAAAGGGTGTCACAGTTATCCATTGGTGGTGTGGACCATCTTTATCAACCTAATGTTTTTTTGTGGAGTATTTTAAATTGTACTCACTTTTTATATGTTGCCAGATTATAATTCAGAAGATTGTCTTCTTGTCGTCAGCAATGATGAGAGTGACAGGGACGAAGCTCCTGTCTGCCTGTAATATATACCCATCCAAGTCCTTCTTCTTGGCATCGCTACATCACTGACAGAGAGGATGGTATACAGTGGTTTATCGCTTCCACTATTAGTCATACGCACCTTGATAGTAGCATTACGATAGCTAATTAAGACTTAATTGTGAATAGAGTCTGAAGAGATAAGGTAATTGGACAATGATGCAGGTATTGTCACAAGTCGATAAATCAATGCTAATGGTCCCATGTGGTACTTTTTGATATCTAAAGCAAAGCTGCCTTCTGCAAACATTTCTCGCTAGACTAGGCATCAGCAAACTCATTATTTGTTTTGATCAAACAAAGCAGAGATTTACTGCTCATGGGCTCTTCCTTGAATTACCAAATGCTATAATGAAAGCCTGTGATATGGGAATGAGTGTAACATTACCTGTGGGTCATCCATGCGTTTCCCACCATACTTTGTAATCTAAGGCTTTTCATAGATGCTGCTCCACAAAGTCTTTTTACATTCACTGCACTGTGTTCCATTTTTTGAGCACGCTATACTATGGGTGGTATGTGCACAATATACATGTACGTTCTGGTTACACAAGAATGATGCTAGCCTTAAAGGGACACTATAGGCACTGTAACTGCTTCATGTAATTGAAGTGGTTATAGTGTCTAGAGTACTCTGGCACCATCCTTCTATTCAGCTTTAAGTAATTTTTAATGACAGCTGTCTACCCCCTCTGTGCTGTTCGGGCTAAAGAGAAAGTATTAGTCTGAGCAGCAAAGGTGGTCGTGATTGTCTGAGGCATCAGCTTATCATTGCTCAATTACTGGTATGAATTGGTATGGCAACAAGACATCTGTCTTTCGGCACCTTGACCAAGCTTGTTTTAATTTACTTTAATCAATGCAACTCTATGAGGAAAATTCAGCGTCTCTGTGCAGAGCGTGGAGACGCTGAATGGCAATGCTGCCTACTGTGCAGCACTTAGCCAAGAAGCACCTCCAGTGGCCATCTGAGGATTGTCCTTAGGGGCTTGAAAATGCCTGGAGGTAATGATTATACTCACCCACGATCCAAGCCACTCAACCTAGGGAAGAAAATAAATATGTCAGCCAGGAACCCCACAAGGCCAACCCCCACAGCAACTGTTCACACCATCTTATCCAACCGAATGTAGGACTGGAACGTCATCGATTCCCACCGCCCAATTTTCTTGACCATTTCATCGTCCAAGCCTAGCCGAGTTACCTTGGTGGCTGCCCCTATGCGAAACGAGTGTGTCCTGAACTGATTTGGCCGCAACCCCAAATCCTGAAGTCCTCGCCTAAAGACCTTGAGAAACTGAAAATGGGAAAGAGAGGAACCGTCCTCGTGCATCAGAAAGGACCCCAGCCCCAGCGGGTGTCATCCCGGGTATCGAGCCAACTAGCCACAAGGCATAAGGGTGACCCAGGAAAGTTATGCAGTACCACATCCGTCCCCCGACTTCTAGCATCCGTTTTTGACCGGCAGAGATGTACCACCACCTTGTCCGCTGCCCACCTAACCTCCAAGAGCTGGACACCCCTGCCCCGGCCCGATTTGGGCTAACTAGCTCCCCGATAAGAAAGGCCCCGAAGAAGGCCAAGAGGAACACCACTTCAGACAAGCCCGCCTCATACACATTGAAGCAAAGCCCCGGCAGGCTGCGCACCAGTCCCCCGAGTATGTCGAGCAAGACTGGCCTCCTTGAGTCAGGGACCTTGCGTCCCCTCTCAAAATCTTTCAGGGCTTGACGGATGACAAAGTGCTTTGTGTGGTCCTCCCACCCCCGAAGCTTAAACCAGAGCGCGATCGCTGACATCTGTCAATCCACCACCACCAGGGACAGGCCTTTTGCCAATAGCCGAAAAACATACCATAGCAGCACATCCAACCCGGAACCTCGGACCATCGCCAGGTCCAATCCTCCCAGAGACTGCTCCCAGGCATCCCAAACCTTACTATAAGCCGCCCATGTACTAGGGGGCCACTGACGACCTCACGAGTCTTCCAAGCATGCCGTCCCTAGCTGCCACATCTCCCCCCGGCATTCCTGACCCTCCTCCATCATCTCCGCGCCTCCTTACGGAATCGGGACCACTGCAAACGAGACAGTGCATCAGCCACATCATTCAAATACCCTGGGACAATACCCGCGTGGTCGAATGATGCGTACGAGACCGAGCATAGCTCTCTTTCAATATCATCATTCACCGACGCCCCTTTCGGGTGCGACAGGTGATATATGAGCCGATACTTCCCAGCTTCCTTCTTGGGGACCACCCCCAATGGGCACAACCTCAAACCTGCTATTGGGAGGTCCCGGAACGGCCCTGCCATGCGCCCCAACTGACCCTCTTTAGAAAGTTTGTCACGGACCATCCTTGGGAATTCCCCTACCGACTTCAAGTTACAAAAACTCAAAGCAAACTCCCTGTCCTGGAACGGGATAACGAACCCCTCTGTGAAACCCCCCCGCAATAGTTCCGTGTCTCCTGTATTACCATAACAGCTTAGCCACGGTAACTTTGCGTCTATTCTCACCGGTGTTTTGCCCCGCGGTTCCTCCAGCCCCACCGCCTTTCCCTTTTTGGAAACATCGGTGTAGGCCATGCGCACCCCCTGCACCCAGAACACTCGTACTTGTATTTGCAGGCTGAGCCCCACTTGCATTGCCCCTCGTTGAACAGCCATAAAAACCCTTTTTTATGAGAGGCCGACGCAGGGGAATGTCCCCATGCGCGGGCCGCTTGCTGAAAGGGAGACGCCCTTTGTGCCATCATAAGCTTCATCCAGAGAGGGAGATCCATCTGGTCCCACCTCATACCCGGATTAGCTGCCAGCCGTTGGCGGAACTGTTCGTCGTACTTCCACCATGCCATCCCTCCGTATGTACGGTAGGCCTCCCCGATCCCATCGAGGCAGCAAAATAAGGAGGAGCAAGTCCCCGGCGATTTCTCGCCAATCACGCTGGCTAGGATACAGAACACCCGCAGCCAGTTCCCGAACGACTTGAGTATCTTGCGATACCTCTTATGCTTCTCCTCCTCCTCCTTTTTTGCGTCCTTCTTCTCCTCCTTCTTGAGGTCAATGTAGTCCTCCAGGGGGAGGAGCTCAACAACCTCTACAAACTCACCCTTCCAAATCCTGTCTTTCATGTCCTGCTTGAGGTGTACCCCCAGTGGGCCCGCGAACGAAACATACGCATTCTGCCACGTCGTGTCTGGCACGCCCCTGCCAATTCCGCCCTCTCATTCGCCAGGTCCGCCACCGCCGATCCCACCACCGCGACACCATGTGATGTGTGCGCAACCCAGTCGATGGCTGCTGCCGCCAGAGCCCATAACCGCCCCGCATCTGACGGCTGTGTACCCCTTTTATCCCACGTGTCAATTCACACTGCACCGACACTTCCTCTCTCCCGCCAACCGGGGAGTCCACCCGATGCCTGGAATAGCCGGAACATGATCCACTGTCAGACCTGAAACAAGAAGAAGAAAGCCAGGGCCGGTTGTACTGTTCCGTGTTGCCTTCCCTGGGTATCCCCGGGTGCGCTGCGGCCTCCTCCTGGCATTTCACCCCCGAATCTGGCCCTGACGGCCGTCAGGAGCCCTGGAGGCCCCACTGGCCTTACCCCTGGGACTCCTGCTCCGCTCCCATCTGCGCATGGGTCCATGCCTCGGGGCCACAGAGCGCTCCCACAGAACCGCTGGCATCAAGAGCCGCCCGTGCGGCAATACCAACACCTCTAGGAGGACATGACTCGGGCCTCGATGCGACCTGCCCAGCGCCATCATGCAGACCCGACCTGCGCCTACAGTCTGTGTCGGGGATCTGTGACTCCGCGACCTGCCCTGCGCCTTGCGCAAGTCCGCTGGGTACTGACGCCCCTCGTCCCTGGGGCTCCTGACTGAAGAACGACCCTTCTGTCCTGCCTGCTTGCGACTCCTCCTATTAGCGGGCCCTGCGCCCTCCAAAGTGCGGTCTGCCAGACCCACCTGACTGCACTGCGTCATCTCTGATCTTGCCACGTCCACCAGCACCCAAGGGGTACTCCTTGGTCCCCGCATGCACTCCTAACCTCGACCCCCGTGGGAAGGCCCAGCTGCACCCACAAGGCCCTGTGGCCCCAACAGGCCCTGCGCTGGCAATTGAGTATGCATGTCGCTGTCCTCAGCGGCACCCTGTGCTCCTACCGGGTCCCCTGCATTGCTGACTGCGGGAAAGCCCTGGCAGGCCTGCTATGCCCCCCAGCAGCACCCCCTTTGTCCCTGGGGCCTGCTGCCCCTGTGCAAGAACCACCACTTGCCTGCATAAGGTTGGTCCGTCCCATGGCCCGGTCCCGGCTTGTGCCTGCTCCAGTCTGCTCCCGATCATGGCCTCCAGGGGGCACCTGCGTACCAAGGTCCCCCACTTCCGTCACTCCTCCTAGGCCAACCTTGCCGACCGCAGGGGCCTGCGATCCGAGCGTAGCTCCCCCTGTTTCCAGGGCCGCGCTGTCTGGCAGTGATGAACCTGCCACTGCACCAGAGCTCCGCCCCGCCGCCGGGCGCCAGTGGATGCCGATAAATCCTGCGCACCATCACCTGCACCGGCACCCGCTAGGCCGACCGCGGTCACACCCAACCCGGTCCCGGTACTTCCTGCATCCACGGGACCCGGGCTCAAATGTTGCATCCACGGGTCTCCTCCGCCGTACTGGACGCCGGCCCCCCCGCGGCCATCTTGACCCGCCGCCTCCAGCACCACACCGAGTTGCTCATGCAGCCAGTCCGTCCCTCTGTCCCTGGCAGCATCCTGGATCCCTGCCATCAGCTCCTCCAGTGTCTGCTCAGCCATCTGCAAAAGAAAAATAAACTTACCAGGCCCTGATACAAAAGCACCAATTCAGCCTGGTAAGTCAATTAGTAATGAGGTGTTATAAAATGGCCGACATTTATATCAGCCTACCCAGAATCCTGATCTGTCAATCACCA